TAAATGGAACTTTTTAGTCCCATATTTATTCTGAATATAATCTATCCATTTTCTCCAAACCAAAATGTATCTTTCTTGTGAATAATCCTTCAAATAAGCAGAAATCTTAGCCATTTCTGCTAAATTTGACACTTTAAGTATCCATTCTTCTATAGTAGGCAAACAATCCTTCTTCCAATATTGCCCTACCAATAGCCTTGCTGCTGTTATTAAATCCAACATCAAATTAATTTCTTTAGCATCAACATCTACTATAATACCCAACAAAAATAGTTGAGGAGTAAACTTTATCTTTCTTTTAAAAATATTCTGAATGTTCCACCAAATTTTAATCCAAAAAGCTTTTACATTTCTACAAGTCCACCAAATATGAAAATAAGTTGCATCCAAACTACCAAATCTCCAACATTTGGGCTGCAAGTTAGGATACATACAAGACAACTTTTGGGGATCCAAATGCCACCTATAAAACATTTTATAAAAATTTTCTCTCAAACTTTGAGCTTGAGTAAATTTTACATTTCTAACCCAAATTATCTCCCATGTGTCCAATAGAATTGGCTCTTGACTATTTTGTGCCCATTTTACCATACCATCTTTAACTAGTTCCGTTTCAGAATCCAATTCTATTAAGACATTATAAATTCTCTTTATATGAGCTCGAGTTTGATCTTTAATCTGTTTTATCAATTTCGCATCCTCTAAAGTAATACCAATCTTTTGATCTAAACTCCACCTAGCTAACAATTGATTATATTAAAACCAAGAGTGTACAATATTTTCTTGCTTCAACTCAGCTAGAGATTTTAGTTGCCAGTCCTTCCCTTCCAAACTAAGTAATTCCTTATAAGAAATCCTATCCAAATTCACTCCTCTAGATACCCCCTCTATCATGTGTCTGGGAATCCCCCAAATTGGAATTTTATAATTTAACCTATAATAATACATCTTCCAGACACATAATAAAGCATTTCTTAAAATATGAGATTTAAAAACCTGATCTACTTTTTTATTATAAATTAAATATGCATGCCATCCATATAATGAATCCCATCCCTCAAGAAGAAGTATATTTTTATTTGTTAATTTAAGCCAATCACTAATCAGAGTTAAAGCCACCGCATCATAATACAATTTTAAATTAGGCGCCTTAAGTCCTCCTCTTTCCCGTACATCTTGTATAATCTTAAACTTAGCTCTTGGTTTTTTCCTTGCCCAAATAAATTTATTAATACCCTTCTGCCATTCCTCCAAGTTGGCATCTTTTTTCAAAATAGGTATCATTTGGAACAAAAAAAGAAACTTTGGAAGAACATTCATTTTAACCGCTGAAATTCTCCCCAACAAAGATAATTGTGATTTTTTCCAATCATTTAAATCCTTTTGCACTTTTACTTATGTCTCATAATTATTTTTGTATAATTTAACATTAGAAGCTGTAATATATACTCCCAGATATTTATCCTTTTTCACTATTTCAAAACCTGTTAATTTAGCTAACATATCCTTTTCCTTCATAGACATATTTTTCGGTAATATTTTAGTCTTATTATTATTAACCTTAAAACCTGAAATTTTCCCATACTGGGTTATAATTTCCATCAAATCCCTTACAGAATCTGTCGGTTGAGATAATGTCACAACCAAATCATCAGCAAAAGCTCTCAACCTGTAATCATTCTGTTTTATTTTTATTCCCTTTATTGTAGTTGATTCACGAATTTTAATCAATAAAATCTCCATTGTTAAAACAAATAACAATGGGGATAATGGACATCCTTGTCTAGTACCCTTTTCAATTTTAAATGCTTCTGTTAATCTTCCATTAATTATAATTTATGCAGATTATTGTTGGTATATAGCCTTAAGAGCATACAAAAATTTATCCCCAAAATTCATTTTCTCTACAACTTTCAATAAAAATTGCCAATTTAACTGATCAAAAGCTTTTTCAGCATCCAAAAATATCAAAGCCGCAGGAATTTGATTATTCTTATCCAAATACTCAATTAGGTTAACAATTTGTCTTACATTGTATTTCATATATCTTCCAGTTATAAATCCAGATTGATCACTATGAATCAATTGCTTCAAAACTTGCATTAATCTATTTGCCAATATTTTTGAAAAAATCTTATAATCTGTATTCAAAAGAGATATAGGTCTATAATTCTTAGGCTGGGTCAAATCTTGATCCTCCTTTGGGATCAGCGATATGAAAGCCCTTCTCCAAGATGGAGGTACCTCTGCCCCCAGCAAAATACTGTTAAAAAGTTCCTTCAATGGTTCTATCATTTCTTCATTTTGTAATAAATGAAGAAATAACATTTTGTAATAAATTGCTGTTAATCCATCTGTGCCTGGAGCCTTACCAACCTTTAATTGTTTGATTGCCCAAATAATTTCCTCAGAAGTAATTAAACAATTCATCTCATTTTAAATCCATCAGATAATAGTTTAAGGGTTTCTATAACTATGCTTAGGGAGCAATTTAATATGTTAATGGCTGATCAGATTGCAATTAATTTGCGGTATATGAAACATAATACATTTTGCAATGCAAATAAACCTGGTAGATGGTTGGCTTACCAATTACGAAAGAAACAAGTCAAAGAAACAGAACGTTCTCATTTACTATGGATCTTTTACAATAGAAAAAAAATGGATTTTTTAAAAACATTATTCCTACACTGCTTCTATTCTAGTCTTCCTATCAAACAAGAACAAGAATTGCCTCTGAACCAATGATGAAAAACTTGGTTGATTTTTTTGTAGGTTTTTTTTTTTACTAAGAAGCAATATAGGTAATCCTTGACTTACAATATTTTGTTTAATGACCGTTCAAAGTCACAACGGCATTGAAAAAAGTGACTTATGACCGGTTTTCATACTTACGTCCATTGCCGCATCCCCATGATTATGTGATCAAAATTAGGATGTTTGGCAACTGGTTCATATTTATGACAATTGCAGTGTCCCAAAATCATATGATCACTTTTTTGTGACCTTTTGACAAGCAAAGTCAATGGGAAAGCCAGTTTCACTTGACAACTGTGTTACTAACTTAATAACTGCAGTGATTCACTTAACATTGGCAAGAAAAGTCATAGAAGTCGTAAAATGTGACAAAACTCACTGTGATTACAAGTCAAGGACTATTTGTAAAGCAAGAAATGCAATATGATAGCTACTTAACAATTCAGATATACTGTCGGACCAAATAACTATCTGCAGAGATAACCTTGCTTGCATGTGAAAATACACTGAATGTTTTATTTTGCATTAGATTTTTATTAATTACACTGGATTTCTGATCAATGGCTGAAATAAAGGTTTGATGGATGGATGGATCCTTCCTGTAGCTTCCATTGTTTAATAGATTTTCTGATACATTTTGCACTGTATGTTCTATGGAAAGCCAATTTGTTGTTATATTTAGCTGAATGTAGCTTTAATATTCATAATTCTACTTATGATTAGTATATGAATTATGCATTCCCTATTTGTTAGGTTCATCAGTTTTGTCTGCATTTTCTGTTGGCTTTTACATGGTATATTGAAAGCAAGGTATTAAAACCTAAAGGATAAGTAACAACTTTTCTTTTTGCAGCCTTCTAAATCTCCTCTGGTCATGATTACTGAAAGTTTATTTTCTTTTGAGGCTGGGTATGAAAACTGAAATGCCTTAAAATAAATTTATCATAGTTAAAAAAGCAACAATAACAAATATCTTTACAATATTTGTAGTTTCCACCTTTCCTACATGTCTGATATAGCTCCATCTATTTTGCAGTCCTTAGCCTGCTCAGAAGTATTAAATTTGATTGTGAAAATCTTCAGCAATTCTGTGGCTTCTGAATATCTTTGCAACAACGAGGACTAGAATTTTCTCAGTTAAAAAGGAGACTCAAGAGGCTCAGCTACTTTTTGTTGCTTTACTAGTTTATTCTTTTAACTTTAAGCAACTGCAAATCCTGCCTGTTTAAAAAACAAACAAACAAACCCTCAACCGAACCCTCAGGAGAAAAGCTATTATAATATGGATAAAGTAAAGAAACAAACTGCATTCCTATCTGTGTCCAAAACCCTTGCCGCATATTTGATGTAATATGTAATAAGTCTCAGGAGATAGATGGGTTTTAATATAGATTTTCACATACCTTTTTTAAATGCTTGGCAAACTTTCCCATATATATGTGTGCTGGTTCAGACCTTGGTAATCCCACAACATTGACAGTGCATTTGAGAGCTGGGCTGATTTATTTCTGGCTCAGTTGCAGTATATTTGAAGCCAGAATAAAGGTAGAGTTAGTTCTCCTAAGGCTGAGCAGGTCTGTTTCTCCATTGGCTTTCGGTCCTGGACTTGAGATCTTTCAAGTGGAAGGGTGGCCTGAGATCTTTTCAGCTCTCCCTCACAAGAATCACTAGGATTTTATTTATGGCTTAGCAAGATAAATTAACACAATATGAAGTAATTATATGGATGGGATGGGAAGCTACAATTTATTTTAGCTCCCTTTTGTGTGGGGTTCAGGGTAAGGGATATTTGTTAACATGGATGAGTTTGGGTGGGGTAATGCTTCTTTGAGTGCAGTGCATAGCATATAGAAGATTATGGCAGATAGACTTCAAACTTTGAGGAATTGTGAATAGAAACTGAATATATATATTCATATATATTTATTAAAGAAAATGAGTCTACATGAATTTACATTTACATACATACACAGCTGCCATTAGGTAAAGGATAAACCCTTCCCTAGGACTTCAGTTTATTTTGCCCCATGATAATTACTGAGCAACATGTTTCAGTTTGCCTCTATGTCTGTATTATTTTGCCATGGATTCTGGAAGTGGGCCTGTGTTATGTAAATATCTGATGGGATTTGATGTTCACATATAATAAATGAAGCAAGAAAATGAATACAGTAATGCAACCATAGTATCAGAAATAAAATGATAAAATATATACTTCCAAATGAATCTTTCAATATGATCAATGAAATAAATAATGAGATAATACAGAAATATTTTTATTAAATATCAGGTAATATAAATTTTCAAATTCCCATTTTCATTGGCAGCACCAAAAAGAAAAAAGTTAAAAAAAAAAATCTGAGGACAGCACCAATAATTCTGGACAAAGAAAAGCACCAATAATTCTGGACAGAGAAAAGCACCAATAATTTTGGACAAAGAAAAGTTGATTTTGTCTATGTTATTGTAAGTAGTCCATATTTGTATTTAAAAAAAGTCTGTCAATTGTATTCAGTTTTTGTTAATTTCTGTAATGTGGTAGGAAATTAAAGACACATTTTATTCAATTCTACCAGCCCTCTCTAAGCGGTTTACAGAGTCAGTATATTGCACCCAACAATCTGGGTCCTCATTTTACCGACCTCGGAAGGATGGAAGGCTGAGTCAACCTTGAGCTAGTTAGAATCGAACTGCCAAACTGCAGGCAGCCAGCAGTCAGCAGAAGTATTGATGTTCTGTGTAGTTCTAAATTTGAAAATAATTTCCGGTTATGTTGAACAGCCATTATAACCAGAAAAGAAGAGGGAAAAAAATCATGGATATATTATGCTATTCTGGTGCTGATAACTAACATGACAGTACCTTGTGTTTAAATACAAACAACATACTTTTGGTATAATCAGCCATTTCTGTAACACTGATAGCAGAACAACTCTTTTTATATTTAAGAGTAAAGCCTAAAATAAGGACATTTAAATATGATTGCTCATTTGACAGTGACAAATATAAAAGATCTCATTGTCCAACACACTTTGAAAAAATGAAAGGAATCTTTAGGCTTTGCTTTTCTCTGCATCCTGCATATTCAAAGCTTTAGATCTAAGTAAATCAATTGATTTCTATTTTTTGGCAGTCGTGCCTTAAACATGTTTCAGTTGCTGCAATCTGTTACAGTGTAGGATCTTTGTAAGCAGGAAACTGCAGGTGAACCATGCAATCTAGCTCTAGTATATCCTTCACAATATTTCAATGAAGTGGCTGGGAGTAAGCAAGGCCACTAATGTTGGAGACTTCCGTGAGAGCCCCACTAATATGCTCCTCTACAACTTTAATAGTTCTTGCTAATTTCAACAGGACTCATGTCAGAAAAACCTGCTGGTAGACAGTGCCCAAAGTATTTATTTAGCAGGAGAAACTGAGGTATAAAGAAAACTCAACCTTCAGTCTCAACCAATAGCTCTGTTGTTCATAGATGTTCTCCTCTCATCAGCTCCTCAAAAAGAAATTGGTTATATTTTCAAGGATCAACCTCCTTCCTATAATATTCAGACTTGGGGAAAACTAAACCATGTTTACATTAAAAGCCCCTTCTTTTGGTTTATTTTAAGAACTAGATATTCACTCAGGTCACATTAGAATACTGAAAAGGATTTGGGATGTGACCTCCTCCATGCACTTGATTCTTGGCTATTTTTTTTTTTAACCTGGAGTCATACTGTTTGCCAAGAAGGCTGCTTCAGAGTGTTCCAGTCGCTCTTGAGATTCTCTTGTTTATCAGCTTAGATGCCAGTTAAGAGGTGAAGCTCATTCAGAGCTATGCCTTATATTTTATAGGCAATGCTCACAAATTAGAATTGATACAAGACCTGCAGCATTGCTTCCCATAGAAACTATGACTACAAACGCCATGTTGGGGAACCAAGTGGCACCAGTTAAAATAATCCTTACAGAAGACATCTAGAAATATGAAAAGAAAAGACATAGTGAATGTAGTCAAATACATTTCATGAAGAGTTGGGTTTCCACATGTACTGAATAAATGTAAATGTAGAATTTAAAATAAAAAAGACTTGATTTACTTGAAGCTTGGGAGATAGGACATTTTAATTCAATGACTGGTGTTTTTATTTAAATAGGTTATGAAAGTAAGAAAACAAGGATAAACCTGAGGTGTATATATGTCTATATATACTGAGATAACATTACAGGAATATAATAAAAATGTTGCTAAAGAATTGTTGAAAAACACAAAAGTGTACACTTAGACAATCATATAAGATCACTCAGCTTCAAGACTTGTGATGTAGTTGAAGATGAGTCATCTGCAACTCATGACATATTGTATATGTTTGGGTATTTATGTATCTATATATACATATGAATATATATGTACTATATAAGTCTCTCTGTATGTACATGTGTGCATGTATACCCCAATTCTCATGATATATGTCCATCTATTGATGGGAAAGATTAAAGTGCTCACATAATGAATTTCTCTCTTTCTCCCTGAATATGTGTGAGATGCTGTTTACAGTGTTCTGTGCAGAAATTCATCCATTTAACAAGTGAAATAATTTCAAACTGATCTTCACAGTTTGAAATATATTCTTAAAGAAAAGTAAATCTCAATTTTTTTTCCTATTGGGGAACTCCTCTCAAAATTGTCTCCATCTTTCTTCAAATAAAGTTGAAAGATGGTCTCTAATTCCCTCTGAATTATTTTAAACTAAATAGTTTAAACAATTCCTCTAATTCCCTCTGAATTGTTTTAAATGAAATAGTTCTGCAACTAATTACATACATAACTTACTCTTACTTACTAACTTACTATCTAAGATTCTTTTTGGTTTTGGATTTGCCCTTGAAGGTTATGATTGTACTTGAAGTCTCTAAATCAGGGGTGTCAAACTCAATTTCATTGAGGGCCGCATCAGCATTGTGGTTGCCCTCGGGGGGCTGGGTGGGTGTCGCCAGGGTGGGTGTGGCCTACTGGATGGGCATGGATGGAGTGGGTGTGGCCTACTGGGTGGGCGTGGTTTCAGCAGGCAGCGGGGCACTCTCACAGCGCTGAGAGGTTGAGCCAGGCGGTACGAAGCCCACCAACTTTGCACCTTGCTGCCTGCTGAAACTGGGCAGGCTGGGGGCTAGGCAGCATTGCACTTCTCATTAGATTTGTGCCACACAGCTCAGTTCTTGGCACTGTGAGGAGAACAGCCCTCTACCTGCCGAAACCCCTCCCCCAGAACCCATCAAGCCAGATATATGAAGTAGGCGAGGGCCATTTGCTGGCCACTCCCAGGTGATGGTGCATTTCTTCATTCCTCACAAAGGATGACACCTCCCCAGCATGCACCCAGGGGGCGGGGCCAATGTGGCAGGTTTCCAGACGGCCTTGTGGAGCTAAGACTGAATGCGTTTCAGCATAGATGGCCGCCACAAAATTGTACATTGGCTCCCTCCTGGCCGGCCTAGGCCAGGGCCAAGGCAGCGGGGGCCATTCCCTCACTGTTTCCAGGATGGCTTCGCAGGCCACATGAAACCACTTCGCGGGCCACATCTGGCCCTCAGGCCTTGTGTTTGACATGTCTGCTCTAAATGCTCTTTGTCAAGCAGTCCTGATGGAATACTCATAATATCTTTAATATATTGGTTCAACAAGATCTCTAGAACCAAATTTTAAAGCAGCCCTCCTCAATCTGATCCTTGGGATTGCACATCTCATGATTCCCAAGTAGAATTCAAAAGATAGTGTTGAGGAAGGGCTCCTTTAAAGACAAAAATGGAGGTTCAGAAGAGAAAACAGTTTGACTTTACCTTTTGCTTCTGGAAGAGGACAGAAGTTTATATTACAGGCTTGTGATGCAATGGGCTTCTGATACAGGAGGCATCCGGTGGCTGATCTCCCATTTGCTAGGCACTGAACGGACCTCACTTGCATGCCACCTCCACAGGTCACTGTGCACTGCAGAGTAAAACAGAGTTAATCAATATGGCTAACTACAACTGGACAGAAAGTCTTATGAAGATCTCCATATGGAAGTAGAACAACTAGTACGTGATTATAAATCTCTGCTGAGTTCATCAATGCATTTTCAGCAAGAGGTTCTGGACAATATTCAACTATTTATTCCCACAATAACACCTTTTCATAAAAACTAAATCGTATGCAAGTTATCACATAGATAGGCAGAAAGGTCCTGTGTACACAATTACTGATTGGAGTCTCAGCTGTCTTCAAAAATACCTGCATGGTTCAATTTCAGATATTAATATTTACAAACTTATTAATATGTCACTTAATAAAATAAATATTGTACAACTAATCACAGGGGTTTTAATGAATTAAATTTCTACAAATGAGCACATGACTAAAAGAATCCTTCTGAGGAAAAAGAAATATTCACTGAAGCAAATGCATCCATCTGTCTTAGAAAAAGGATTCTTGTTGTGTTTTCCGGAATCTCTTAACTTGTCGTTCATTGACAACTGTTGCCTTGGTGTGTTTGCATGGGAATACATGACTAAACATAGAGCCTCCTTAAGTTAAACTGATTTTTCTTGATATTACTTAGTTAAGATAGTGCTACTTTTCTTTCATATGCTTACCTATCATGCCCTTCTAAGCAAATATATCATGAAATCTGAAAATGTACACTGCAGGGATCCTAAAAAAATGGAACCTTTCTCCTGTAAAATCTGAGTGGTTGGAACTGAGAGAAACATGATTTTCCTATATCCATTCTCCACTTAGACACAATAACCACAAGCACAGTGCTCTGGTGCACACAGGTGCTTCCTCTTCTTCTAGTACTACTATACCAAGCCAGCTACTCCATATCTCCCTTCTGCTGTATCACAGTATTATTTTACAACACACACACATGCACACACACACAAAATGTGGGACATAATGGGAAAAAGGGAAGGATACAACATACCTAAGCATTTTGTGAAATTCTGCAAATGAAACAGGAGAATTGCACAATAAATGTCCAGTCTAAAATTACCATGTTTAAGGGAATAAAGGCGATGAGGAGAATACATTGGCAGAAAGTGAAAGAGGGAAATCAGAAGTGCTATTAAACTATATTAGTCAAGGCACAGATGTTGCTCTTCCCAAACAGATACAAGTTGCCTTAAGTATTTCCACACTAGGACTTTCAATCCTGCTTAATTGCATTGTTTTTCTTTAATTAATGGAAATGGAGAATCTGCAGTGTTTAATATATTATTAAGGTAACCTCATGCTCTTCGCCATGGCAGGATTATTTTGCAATGCTTGCTTGTGTAAATTTACTCCTGGGCAATAAAAATGTAACATTTGCTGCCTCAGACAGATTTACAGTTTGTTATTGATCCAGTCTGGACAGTGATTTCTGTGTGAACAATGTCAAGGAGAATTATTTAGATCAGATCAGCTATTATTTCACAGAGAAGGGGACTTATTTAATTTTAACTTTGCTCATTTGATAGCAACAACTTTCAAGAAAACATTTGATAGCAACAACTTTCAAGAAAACAACTTTCAGAAAAGCACGGAGTGTAACGATTCTTATGAGTCCTGAATAACAAGATAAAAGTCAGCAGCTTTGAGCCAAACCTGTCACTGTATGAGGTGAAGCTGAATCTCATATCAGCCCAAAGTCAAGAGGTTGGGGGATGATTCAGTTCTTTAGAAAGCCATCTGTTGAGTTGATAAACAGCCAACTACATTTTTTTTTTAGAAAAATAAATCTAAGATTGGGAAGTGAAAGAAAGGTGAAAGATAGAATCAAGAGACTGGCAGATCTTATTTTTTAATAGTGAAAAATTGTTCAGCGGAGGCTTTCTAATTAGAATTCTTCAAATGAATATATTGCTAAAAATATCTCCTCATACTTTATAATAAATTGTCCTAATGTTGGAAGATTTAGGAACCATGTCTAAATCCAAAGGCTCATCATAGATAACCCACCCTCCCAGCAATTCTGCTCCATCCTTTCAGTGACCCTAAGCAAGATGAGTTGAGGAACAAACAAAATTTTCCCTCTACATCTGGTGGCCTTCAAATAGAAGAGTCCAGAGACTGTTGGTATAATCCCTGTAATGGGCTGAGAAATCTGTCTCCTCTCTGTAATTCATCAATATTGCCCACTTAATGATAAGTAAGGAAATGGGAAGATTCTTTCATCCTGAAGTCTATCTTCCTTCACATAATGTCTCCTCAATTTGTTTGCTCAAAATGTTAGAAGGTTTTATAGTACTGGAGCAACTACAACTGCAAATAGAATATAATTCTGGTCAAAGTTAACAATGTTGCAAGCATAAATAAAATTTAATAATAAAACAAAACTTACAGATAATCCTCAATTTATGACTGCTCAATGATGATTCAAATTTATGGTGGCCTCAGAAAACATGTCTTTTGATTTGTATTGGCACTTATGCCCATCATACCAACCCTGTGGTAATATGATTGCAGTTCAAGCGCTTGGCGATTACCTTCATATATAAATGATTGCAAAGTCCTGTGATTATGCACTGGCAATCCTTTTAAAAAAGTCCATTGGAAGGTGGATTTGTTTTATGACCACATGATTTACTTAATGACCATATGAGTGCTTAACAACTGAGGTGATTTGCTTTGCGACTGCCATAAAAATGGTTATAAAATCAAGTGTGGTCGTGTGATGACTTATGACTGCACCGAATTCTGATCCTAATTATGGTTGTAAGTCAAGAACTACTTATACAGTATGATCAAAACAGAATTTAAAAGAATCTGGTTTTGTTGCACCTGCTGCCTTGATACTGGATAGACTTTATCCTCCAGAATTGCCTATTGTTCCTACAAATGAGATCCTATACCTTGATTACCTCCCAAAAGAAAATATTAAAATAATTTATGATGGTCTCAGACTGAGCTTTAATTGATGTGTTTATCTTGATACAATCCTAATTAAATTGGATTATTTTCCAAAGTGCAAATGAATCCCAAACTGAATCTTGGAATCAGAATTTATTCCTAAAAGCTAAACTAAGAATAACAAAACAAATATAACTAACTAACCAGAGGGAAGGACAAGAAACAATGGTTGGAAACTGATCAAAGAGAGAAGCAACCTGGAATTAAGGAGAAACTTCCTGACAGAACAATCAACCAGTGGAATAGCTTACCCCCAAAAATCGTGGGTGCTCTATCATTGGAAAATTTCAAGAAGAGACTGGACAATCACCTGTCTGAGATGGTATAATTCTCCTGCTTGAGCAGGGGGCTGGACTAGAAGACCTCTAAGGTCCCTTCCAGCTCTATTCCATTCTGATGCTGCACTTCCGTGCATTGTTCTTAATTTTTCTTTTAAAGAATACTGCAATAAGACTCAAAAATCTCTAATACTTGGCAGATATCTTACAGATATGACTAGGTCCTTTGTTGCAAACAAGATTGAAGCCCAATGTAACACTTGGCCTACTGAGGGAAAGCCAAGGTTGCAGTCTCCATCTTAATATCTAACAGTAGTTTAAGTGTAATTTGAGCATCCCATAGTAGTTTGGACATTTGAATAGCCTCCCTATGAATGAAATGACTCTTTGCTTGATGCTTGGCAAAGAGTCATTTGAAGCCCAACAGTTTAACTAGCTGCCAATTCCAGCTTGAAAGTAAGTAAATCTAAATCTTACTTTAATTTACAAAGAGAAATGCTATCATAATGTTGAAAAAAGTGATTTGGGCCATTAGATATAGAAACTATTCAAAGAAAAAATATTCACTAATTCCATAAATGAAATTCATGCAAAATAACTAAATTAGTTGAGCTGCCAAGAGGAAATGTTTCACTTAAAGGCACAGTATTCTCCAGAAGCCTTAAGAGCATTTTGCCTACACTGGATAGAAAAGGGTTGCTGTTGTATCTTATTTTATTCCATATCAAAAAAAAAGGGGGGGGGGATGAAAGTGATGACAGTTCTGGGGAAAAGAGACATTTATTAGATCTTGAGCTGCATTCCAGCACTGAAAATGTATAACTGAACTTCAGTGGATTACAGCCATCTCTAGGCTATGCCTCCGTCTCAGTGCTAGCCTACCCCTCAGTCATCCTGAAGCTAAATCGGAGGGATCCAACTAGAAAAAACAATGCAGTCTTCTACGCAAACATTGGGATTCACAGGCTGGTGACCAGCACAGCTCCAACTGGTTTGTGGAAGGGCTGCTGCTTCCATCTGCCCACAGAGCCATTTCTGTTTTGGCTACTAGAAATACCAAAATCTCCCCAGAAAACTATCTCACTCCTACTTTTAGGTGCAACTAGCAACATTAACCTGCTGGAATATCAATTGCTATTTCTACCAATAACTTTTTTGCTTAGTTTTTCTCCTCTATGCAAAGAATAAAATCTAGGGAGACAGAGATCCTTCATCCTTCTTGTTCTCCCCCCCCCCCCTCCAGCAACCTCTAACAGCTGCAGCTCCACTTGAATCTAGAGTGAATCCACTTTGGGCAAATTTTAGGATTTTTCTTTCAGTCTGCTTCTTTTCTACACATATTCTGTATAGTTCAGTGAGAAAGAAGATGTTACATGTAACACTGTTAATGATATCTTTACAATATTATTGTTATTGTGGTATGTTATATGTCCAATGCTTTATGTTTTAAATGACTGTGGCAAAAGAAAGCAAAGATAGTACCACTAGTGATAGATGCCTTCATTGCAATTCCAAAACATCTGGAGCACTGTTTGAATACCATCCGTGTTGACAAAATCACTAATCAATTGCAAAAGGTAGCTTTACTCTCTTATCCGTGAAGATATCTTTAACAAGATCAAACAGCATCTGTCTATCCCAAGTCCTTGGGAAGGACTTGATAAGTAGATAAAAATGCCAAATCTAGTCTAAACATCAGTAAATACTGTGTGATAAACTATAATAATAACGTACTTAATTCATATCTTTATATATGGTTTTTGTAATCCAATGCATTTCCAATTATCAAGGCAGTGAAAGCAGTATTTTATAACAATTCTTCTATTCAGGGGTCAATTATCAACCAGTCAGAGTTGCAGTCCGGACTGTTTAGCCACTTTGAAGCTTTCTAGTAAATTCCCCACTAGAAGATTAGCCAAGAGTTATTTTTTTCTTTTTCTGCAAACAATTATTGAGCTTAGACAACAGTTAAAGTTTTCTTTTTCTGCAGACACCTCTTGAGCTTATAGATAGCCCAGTATGTTTTCTTTCTTTGTTCCCAGCTGTTTTCTATTTGGCTGAAGGTTATTAAAGTTTAAGGGAACAGATTATTCTTTGTTTCTGGGCATCTTGCCAATTTCTGAGTCAGAGTTGCTGTTGTTCTATGCTCTAATTCTCCACTAGATGTCAGTAATTATTTATTTTCCAACTTTTTCAAACAAAAAATATTATTATTATTATTATTTATTAATAGTTTCATCAAAACTCTTTAGGGTGTAAAATATTAACAGGTTTCTTAATTTTCAGATTTATCCAGACTATAGTGTTATTAATTTCATTTTAGTATATTTCTTTCCCCCTTAGAAGTTAATTCGCTACTTCCGTTTATGGAGGGGTAGGGATTTAGTCACCTCCGTCACTTTCGGAGGATTTCTTTTCCAAGGAATCAGTTACAAAATAGAAGGGAGAAGATCGATACTCTCACCCAGTTTCAAGCACGCTGTTCACCATTGTTCTGGTTTGTGCTTTTGGACTTTGGCTGCTAGTAGCTTGGGCTAGACACTGAGGTGCAGCTAGCCTTTCTCCTGTTGGATTGAAGGGCTTCCCCCAGATCGAGTGGATCAACTGCCGTCATTCCATGATCATCAGGGTGCCCTTCCTTCGTCACCTCTCTGGGGCGACTTTGACCCATTTAGGGTCCCCTGGTAGGGCGAAATCAGCCATGGGGTGCAGAGCCCTGCGATCCCTTGGCCACATCGCTATAAGATGTGGTTGTTTGGATTTTGAGATTGGTTGGTTTGATAAGGCTAATTATAGAGACTATGCTACTGTGAAAGACTATTTGGAGGGGGGAGACAAAATGGATATTGCATATTTATCTAAAGGGAACAGGAAATCACACCTAATATCCCCTTCTGAAAGACCTAGCCTGGAACATCAGAGATCTTCAGGAGTAATACTCCAAGACAAGACTTTTCAGGAGGAAATGTATGCAATACTATGACAGATTCAAATGACAATAGTTTCAAACCACAATGAGATCAAAAACAACTTTGATGACATAAATGAGCACATCTTCAATCTAAACTTACAATTAAAAAACTCTCAGAAAACAATGATAAAGAATGAATCATAACAGAACACAAACTAGAAGAAAGTGACTTAAATAGAATAAAATAGAGTTGGAAAGGACCTTGGAGATCTTCTAGTCCAGCCCCCCACTTAAGCAGGAGAATCTTCTTAAAAATTTCCAGGGATGGAGCACCCATAATTTTTGGAGGCAAGCTGCTCCACTAGTTAATTTTCCTCTCTGTCAGGAAGTTAATAGGGAAACTACAAATTAAAAGAACTACAACTTAATACAAACAGAAAAAAATCTACAAGATTTTACCACAACAATGAAAGTGGAAAAGATATTTTATCAGTCAGGACTTCAAAATCAATTTGAGGATAAGAAAAAAGATTTAACAAAATGGATTATAGAACTGCCAGGAAAACCATCAGAGTCTGGGATACAAAAAGCATATATCCTACTCAACTTGTCTTTCTCACTCCCAACAACACTTACAAAAATAGAGGACCTTCCTGGCAAGCGAAATATACTAACTTGGAAAGCTATTTGGCAAAAGAAGAAGGCTAGAGTTAGACTTAAGAGATCTAATTCGACTTACCAGATGGAGTACTACATGATTAAACATTTGTTTGAATATGGTTAAAAGAATAGATAATTTTGGATATAAAGGGGCCCTATAGTAAGAGGGATAAGAGATATAAGTAGTATAGTATTTTTTACAATATATAAAATGTAAAAATATTGGGATGATGTATGTGAATGGAAAGTTTGGACATTTAAAGGTAATTAACTTTGCAGGAATTATGACCGAGAAGAATAATTTAAATACCAAGGGAAAATTAAGCTTAAATAAGAATTTTGAAAACAGGACATATAGTGACTTAACAAGATGACTTTTACAAATATAGTTGAAATATAAGCTGTTCAGAAAAGATGTTACATTTGGATGTTATAGGATATATAAGTAGTATAGTATTTTTATAATATATAAAATATGAAAATATTGGGATGGTGGATGTAAATGAAAAGTATTGGGGTGATGTATGTGAATGGAAAGTTTGTCTATTTAGCTAATCAATTTTGAGAAAACTATGGCTGATAAGAATGGTTTGAATATTGAAGAGAAATTAAGTTTAAATAAGAATTTTGAAAACAGGACACACAGTGACCTAACAATATGACTTTTACAAATACAATTGAAACATAAATTAACTAGAAAAGATGTTATATATGGATGTCATTGTTAATTATACATACACAAAAAATGCTTATATCCAACCTTGTATACATTGAAAATATTAATAATTATATTTATCTTGACAAAGGAGAATACCATTAGAAGAAGGGAAAATTTAAGGAAACATACTATTAATTAATATATTGATCATGGAATTATAGAAATTAATAATTATTGATTGTTTTTTCAAATTATATGACCCCAGACAACACACTATTTACTAAGCACCAAAGATTGTTATTGTAAAAAATTAATAAAATATATTTAAAAAATGTACTTAATTTGAAAAAGCAACAGTTTTTCTCAAATGTTACAACAGCACAGAATTGCCTAGCATGAACCAACCAAGCTAAAGGCCTAAATGTTCTCTCTTATTTTTCTGCAGTGAATTTGGGACATACACTAAAATCCAAGTTCCTGTGCAAGCAAATAGCAAGTACTTAATTCAGTTAGACTGTGTTTATTTTATTTGAAATTCTGATTATATGACTGATACTTTACTGTATTTTATTATATGTCCCCTTTCTCAGTAACTCTTTAATACAGGTTGATTTGGCTGAAAAGGAAATTTTGAATGAAAAATTTCCCCATCAATTTTCCCACGTGCAAAACTATAAATAGCACAAGATTTGTTCAGTTTCTTACTTTTTCTAGAATTGGGTTGAAAGGAGAAATCCTTGGTAGAAGGGCTAACAAGTCTGCAGCCAGCCAGTCAGGAATATATCCAAAGGTTTAACTTGATGGGCAGCTTCCTGTAAATACTTTAGAAGAATTCTTGCCAGTGCAATTTCTAGTCAACCTTTCCTGGTCTTTTCTCTACTCACTCTGGTAACATATTGAATCATCAGCTTGCCACCTGGAGCCCTGAAGCAGGGTTTGCCACCAGTAGTCTCCAGGCTGAAAAAGTCACCCATTTATGTACCGTATCATCCTGACCAGGGATGGCAAAAGTTGTAATCCAATTCAGTTGGAAGATAATAGCTAAAAAAACAAAATCTCCTGCTTCCCAAATGATGAATCAAATCTCTTCTGGCATTAGTCATATTTACAGCCTTAACATATATTAAGTCTCTATTATTATTATCTAGATGCCCTGGTTCTGAATTTGGAAATTATACGTCATTGCCAATGGTTCTATTTCATGAATTGTGGGCGCTGTGGACTTCTGCTTACTTCTGCGCATGCTCCATTTCATTTGAACTACTATATATGTTTATGAAGGAACTGAAACATTCCAGAGCCCCAAAGCGCCCATTTCTGAACCACAGAGCCACCTCTCTCTCCGTAGAATGTATTTGTGAATCTAGGTCTGAATCTAGGACACTGGAACCATTGAAAGAAAAAAAAAAGGTAACCGAGACTTGGTATGAAGCTTAAAATATTTCAGAGTTACCTATGTCCTTTACCTGAGACCAAGAGGAGGAAAACCAGCTGCCTTGATTTATTGATAAATATGCAGAGTGCTTGTAACAAGGATGTAGGATGCAAACTTTTTCCATCTCTATGTTTGGTTTTTGAAGATAGGAACATTTTTTAGGGGCAAGTTCTCGATACTTTCCAGAAAGATATTTTTCAGCACAGTTCAGGGTTCTCCTCTGTATTCCCTTTCCACATGTCACAGAGCACTGAAAAGAGAATTTAATAACAACAATTAGTGCAAAGCAAGGTAGTCCCTTGTTTTATTTCATGTGAAATATTTTATGTTTTCAAGTCAATATAAACTTGACTTTATTTTGACTTTGATTAGATATGTGGACAACCCCAGAATGATTCCAAACTCAATAGATCACATTTCAACTCATTTATTAGGAGTTATGTGTTCCAAACAACACATTTTCTTCTAATATACTCCATTCCAGCTGTTCATCCATTTTTCTTTTCAATTCTACAGCCATTATATGTGGGTCAAAATAACTGGCATTTTTTCTTTCTCATGTGAGTCTCAAGAGAAGCAAAACCAAGTTCCAAACAGAGAAGGGCAATAGACATACAGTGAAAATTAAAGAGCAAAGTTCTTAAATCATTGGATTACATAGTTTCTAGAGTTCAATTTTTAGAGGCAGAATTGTGCTCCACATAATAGGAGGCTCAGCACTTTGCTCTAAACAGTTTGGCAGTTGCTGGACATAAACAGCTACTATTACGTCTGGTGAAACTTATGGTAGTATTCAAAGATTTCTGGGCATGAATTGAATGAGCATATGCTTAATATCTTCATGCAGTGGGCAACTGAAAGTAGATTCCCACATACAGCTAGACCCCATTTTAAGAACAAGATCCATTCCTAAGATCTGTCCTTAAGGTGAATTTGTATATAAGTTGGAACAGTATTATTGTACAATAATGTATAACATAATGTATTATGTAAGCATCTTGAACCATTGTGTATTTAACAAATTTTGCTACAATAGTCTCTATTCTTTTTTTTATTATTATTATTTTTTTCTTTTTTTTTCTTTTTTTTTTTTTATTAAAAAGTTTTATAAATTTTACAGAAAATAAAAGACAATACAAAAACAAAAAACAACATATACAAATAAAAACAAACATTACCCAACAAAACCCCCCTTCCCCCACCCCTACCCAAACCCCCCCTTCCCCCCCCAGGGCCTCCCAGAGCAGAATATAGGCTTAATTAAAAAAAAGTTAAAAAAATTTATATTTATAAAAAAAAGAATATAAAATAGAAATATATATATATATATAAAGTTAAAAATTATGAAAAAACTATATAGTATTTTTTATATCAAATTTAAATTGTATGAATTTTATCCATTTATCCCAAACAGCAAGAAATTTCTCTTGCGTTTGACCCTTTAAGAAAGCCGAAATCTTTGCCATTTCCGCCAAATGAGACACTTTAAGAAACCATTCCTGCAATGTAGGCAAAGATTCCTTCTTCCAATATTGTCCTACTAACAGCCTCGCAGCTGTAATCAAATTTAACATCAATATAACCTCCTTTGTATCACAATCAATAACTATACCTAACAAAAATAATTGTGGAGTAAATTTTACCCTCCTTTTAAAAATTCTCTGGATATTCCACCATATCTTAATCCAGAATGCTTTTATCTCTCTGCACGACCACCAAATATGATAATAAGTAGCGTCCATACAACCACATCTCCAACATTTAGGTTGTAAGTCAGGGTACATAAAAGACATTTTTTGTGGATCAAGGTGCCATCTATAAAACATTTTATAAAAATTCTCCCTTAAGTTCTGTGCTTGTGTAAATTTGACATTTCTCACCCAAATAGTTTCCCAGGTGTCCAATGGAACTAGTCTCTATTCTTAACAGGGTTGTTCTAAACGAGGGCATTCTTAACCTGGGGACATGCTGTATTTAAATACATTAGACTGTTGCATTTACATGTTATTGGTGTTCTAGTTATAATGGCAGTTTGCATTATGTTTGGTATATAGGACAAGTATGGTTTGAAATATTTATTTTCTTTTTTTCATTGCAACAAAATGTTGCAATAACAAGCAAGCTTCACTGAAAGTTAATGAAAAGATTCCAGCATGTTGTAACGTAGTGACATGAAAATAGGATTGTTGCTTAGCATTAATGGGTAAAACTCTCCCTTGGACAGGGTTTTCATGGTGTAAAAATTAAACATATATGGGGCAAAAAATACATTCTTGTTCGAGTAGAAGAGAATATGTGTGCCTCAGAGTTGAATGTGGAGTTGCTGGTACTCTCTGAGCCTGGTTGTTTATTTGCAGATGTTTCACTAGCACTGAGTTGCACTGATGATGACTTCATTACCAACTTAAACTGATGATGTTACCTACTTGGGTAATGAAATGTCTGCAGGAAACAACCCAGGACCCCATTCTTCAGGATAGTAATTGAATCATAAATCACTTCAAGAGTAGTAAATCTTACTTGCAAAGTTATCCATCTCGAATGGAAGCGATTGTATATTCAGTAGCATACATATTTTTTTTTAAAAGAAAGTTTTCTCACCTCGGTCCATGCAGACACAAACCACTGAAGTTTCTTGTTTTTATAGCATCGTTTCAGGAGGCAGGTTTCTTGCATCTTTGGCTTCAGTTCTGCGGCACAAGCAGCATCAGGTAAAATTTGATCCCAGTGAGAGGAAGAGAAGCTTTTGCACAGAACAGTTCTTTTCCTCCAGCCTTTCCCACATGTTCGAGAGCACTGGGAGTGTAGAATGGACAACGAACATGATAGCAAAATGTTTCTCAAAAATAAGAGAAAAGAATTTGAAGTAAATAAAATATGTAGCAGTTTGGTGTGTGTTATATACTTTGCTTTTCCAGCAGAATATTCTTACATTCTCATAATATTTAGAATAGAACTGAAGAAGAATCAAATGCCCATTTAGTCCAGTTTCATAGGGAAGGAAAGTGTGCAAGAATGGCATCAGGATGACTAATCTTTCCACATTAGTTCTAAATTTATATTACAGCATATAGATGTAAATGGTGCTGATTCTTGTTTCTTAGTCTGATCTCTTTTAAATGGAAAAATGCTTAGTTTAAAAATATTTAAAAACATACTGGAATTAAATCCACTCTACTGATTATAGCAGAGTATAGGTGCATTTATATCTAAAGTGTATTATATTTTAATTGCTGTTAAAAGTTGCAAGTGACTTATATGTGTGTAATATCTGATGACAAACTACGTTTCCAGAAATGAATTATGATATAAGTTTCCCTGAATTGTATCTCTCATACCGATGGGGGAAAAAAACCTCCCTCTTTACACACTTTCAGTAGACTGTTGTTCAAGTCTACCAAAGTGTCAATGATTATCAATTATGATAAAAGGTTTTATTACAAATTCTGTCCAAGAAATCAAAGTTACCCTGAAATACATGTAGTTATTTATTCATCTGTTGGATGTAATTGTGAAGTATACAAGTGTGAATTTAATGTACCTCAGACCATGGCCCGGTGCTCCATGTAGGCGGACATCTTTGAGTGTTACATAGCTCCCTGGTGACTGGGCCAGGGATTTGACAAAGGGAGTCTGATACCCTTTCTGGCTCGTATTGAATTCTCTGCATGCAGTGAATACCCCGAAACCTCTCTCCTCCTCCACAAGTCAAGCTGCACCCACTCCAGTTCCCAACAGACCAGCTAGAAGAGGATTAAAACAAGCAAACAAACAAATGAACAAACAAACACAGTTTGTACTTGCAGATCTGACCAGCTTGTCTAACCCAGCATAAGGGGAATTTGATTTATTTGTAGGGATCACATTTGTACCACAGCTTTTCTCCAAACATTTAAGAGCTCGACTTACGACTACAATTGAGCCCAAAATTTCTCTTGCTAAGCAAGGCACTTGTTAAGTGAGTTTTGCCCAGTGGTGGGATTCAAATATGTGAACAACCAGTTCTCTGTGTGGATGCTGCTTCCGGAAGTCCATTCTGGACTGGGCAATAAAAAATTAGCTACCAGTTCTGCTGAAGTGGTACGAATTGGCTGAATCCCACCACTGGTTTTGCGCCATTTTAGAAGCTTTCTTGCTACAGTGACTGACTGCAGTTATTAAGTTAATAATAGAATTGTTAAGTGAATCCGGCTTTCCTATTGATTTTGCTAGTCAGAGATACTGCAGCCGTCATAAATATATGCCAGTTGCGGCTTACATTGAAAATGAAAGGGAAACAAGATTCAGAATACTTTCAAACATGGAATAATTTTTATAAATGGCTAGAAAAATGGAATCAAGAGTAGGAATGGAAACTGTACTACTATTAATGTTAAATATGTGAACCCAGATAACACACTGTTTATTAAGCACTAAGGATTGTTACTGTAAAAAAATAATATATGTTTATATAAAAATACATGCCAGTTACTAGGCATCCAAATTTTGGTCACATAACCATGGGGGAGCTGCAATGGTCATGGTCATAAGTCACTTTTTTCAGTGCTCTTGTAACTTTGAATGGTCACTAAGCAAACTAATGTAAGTCAAGGACTACCTGTATTTTATTTTCTCATTATGATAAGAAAGTAAGCAAAAGACACCGACTTTTAGTATATTCCATAGGTTCATGAAACCTGAAACCTCAGATGGTATTTCAGACTGTTTTTAGATTTCCATTGTTTCAATGTCATTCACATCATATAATTTGGAGAGTGGGGGAAAAGAAGAATGAAAAAGAACAAAAGAAAGAATGAAAGAATACAGCAGATATAGATTATTACTCTTTAATGATGGAAATATGTCACTTTTCTAAACATAAATAATTCTGACATTCTGAAGTGTATTTTATAAATTGATATATGGCAACGATTCTACATAGTGAAAACAGGGTGGTTTGATTTAAATCATTCATTTTGTCCCTAGCAATATTTTAATTCAGATTTTTTTGGCAAGCAGGACATTTTTTGACAATAATTATAGTCCAATAGCAATCACAATATGTTCAGATACTTTATACAACGAATGATATAATGTGTATACAATTAAGAGGATGATCTGAGAGCCAGACATCCTTGAGCAGTTTCTTCTTATATGTGAACTCACTGGATGACTATATGCAGTCCAGTAACTGAAAGGTTACCTCAGCAGATGGCAGCATGTGGCAATCTGGCCTAATCTGACAGCTAAGCAGGGTTGGGCCTGGTTAAGTATGTAAGTGGAAAACTATCAGAAAATACAAAGTTTGCTGGTTACACTGGGAGTCTGAAAATACAATTCCAGCAAAACCCTTCTGTATTGTTCCCAAGAAAACCAGAAGAACGTGTCCATGCAGCCATCCAGAATCAGGCTGGATTTGAAGGAGATTGTATCTCCTAAAGGAGATTGTATCTCCTAATTGAAAAAAAACCCAAGGCATTTCTCTTCCTATAATATTTCTTAAAACATGAAATATGGTTGCTTTACTATTAGTGATTTCAAATACAACATCATAGAAATCAAATACAGATTATATTGTTTATGCCTCATCTTAGTCTTGCTACAGGAGAAATACAGATAGTCGTTGTGACCACAATTGAACCCAATATTTCTTTTGCTAAGTGAGACACTTGTTAAGTGAGTTTGGGCCCATTTTATAACCTTGCTTGCCACAATTATTAAGTGAATCACTTCAGTTGTTAAATTAGTAACACGGTTGTTAAGTGAATCTGCCTTCCCCATTGACTTTGCTTATCAGAAGGTCGCAAAAGCTGATCACACATGACCCTGGGACACTGCAGACTGTCATAAATAGGAGCTGTTGCCAAACATCCACATTTTGATCACATGACCATGGGATGCTGTAACGGTCGTAAGTGTGAAAAACAATCATAGGTCACTTTTTTCAGGATTGTTGTAACTTTTGAATGGTCACTAAATGAACTGTTGTCAGTCAAGGACTATCTATAATTTTTGACAGGGCTTTCATCATATATTGGTAAGCAGATTTACCAGGGTTCAGACTTGTTTTGCTACATATGATAGTCTCATCCATATTCTGCTTTTGCTGATGTATAAAGGAATAAATATGCAACTGCAGGAGAAAAAAAACAAACAGAAGTTACCACTTCTGTCACATTTTCTCCATTTCTTCTGTTTGAACAGATGTTCAACTTATTGACCTTAGGGGCAGGTGTCAGACTCCCCCAGGAATCTGCTTATGCTCTTTTCTCTTTTCCCAAGTTACTGCCCAATATCAAACCTTGGCATGGAAAAGACGGGAGTTGATGACAGGTGATTGGCAAAGAGCGTGGAAAGGCAGACTCCTGGAACAGTAACCCAAGCCCTCAGTTAGTGATCTAAAACATTCCCATCAACATTTTTGGATTCTTCACAGTTCCTTTTTGGTTTTAACAGTTTAGTTCATTTGTACCCTATAATGGGTAGCTGCTTGTGCACTTGTGAATGCTCCGTTAATTTCTATCAACACATTATATTTTGTGGACTACAATATTGAACTAAACCCTAGGATTGGAACTGTTAGTATTTCTAGATCTCAGATAGAAGAAACAAGCTAGTCTTCCTTACTCCCTCTCTTTGTTCCACCCACCCATTCATTAATATCTTTGATTACCCATAAAATATGTTTTTAGAATTATTGTTGATGGAACATTCAGATGAGAATGAAGACTGATAGGTACAGCCTTATGTGACTGCTGTTCGTTCAGGACCCATGGACCTTTTTCCCCCTTCTAATAGTGACTAGAAAATGTTGGGAAATGCTGAGACGTGAAAGAGAAACCCATCCTGCAATTTATGAGGATGACATAAGGAATATGTTCTCTGAGGGAAGGATTCACAGCTTTGAGGGCTTAAATACAGTCTTATGACCTCAGATTGTACAGTTTTCTATTGAGGCTCTAAACCAAAGAGGTCATTAAAAAGGGGCTCGTGTTGCTATAGAAAACCTCACAGAGTACAACTAATCCTCGACTTACAACAGTTCATTTAGTGACCATTCAAATCTACAGCACTGAAAAAGTGACTTATGACTTATGACTTTTTTCACATTTACGACCATTGCAGCATACCCATGGTCATGTGATCAAAATTCACATGCTTGACAACTGATTCATTTTTATGACAGTTGCAATGTCTCAGGATCACGTGATCACCTTTTGCGACCTTCTGACAAGCAAAGCCAATGGGGAAGCCAAATTCACTTAACAGCCGTGTTACTAACTTAACCACTGCAGTGATTCATTTAGCAACTATGGCAAGAAAAGTCATAAATGAGGCAAAGCTCACTTAACAAATATCTTAACTTAGCAACAGAAAGTTTGGGCTCAGTTATGGTTGTAAGTTGAGGCTATCTGTATTTTCATCCAAACCATAGATCTGGGCTGTCTGTTTTATTTCATTAATCTCAACATCTTTATCTTATATCCTTTTTAAAAAGCTGATGTGGGAATGCTAGTAAATTCTGCAATAGAGGAAAATTCAGACACAATGCTATGTTTTAAATATACTGTAATGAATGTAGTAAAATGCAATCAGAATATTGGCATCAATCATCAGAAACATTATAATAATGTCCAGTTACTTACAAATTGCTATTCAAGCTATCAGATATCTATATGCTGAACATAGAGGAAAAATGGTACTGTATTTAAGCGACTTTTGGGATCTGTATTAATATATAGATCAATTTCAGATTATTAAACTTTATGGTAAGTCTAAACTCATATGCATATTTACAAAAAAGAAAATGAATTGAAATTAATAGGATCTACATGATTTTATTTGTTTTTTAATGAAGTCCTAAGATTAGCCTGGGAATAGATTGACGTGGTAGAAGAAATATGGAACAGTCAGAAAAAAAAGCACCATGCTCTGTCTGCGCCTACAGAATGCAATGCAATACTTGAACATTCCTTCCTTCTATGAAGTCGGGGTATCAGTAAATTAAAACATTATGTTAATTTTGGCTTAAAACCAAACAACTTGATAAATCAGATGTCTTTATAAAATCAATCTCTCTCTCTCTCTCTCTCTCTCTCTCTCTCTCTCTCTCTCTCTCTCTCTCTCTCTCTCTCTGTGTGTGTGTGTGTGTGTGTTTTTGTGTGTATGTGTGTGTGTGTATGTATGCTGAAAAACACAGTAATAGATATTCAGCTAATATACAGCAAAAAAAAGTATCCAAGAGAGTTATCAGCTTCAAGGAACTTATTAGAGAAAAGTTTCTCCACAGTTGTACGAAAGAAATGCAAGGAGACAATAAAGGATGCAGAAAAAGAGCTCTGAAATACATACAGGATGTTAATACCATTTTAAGATCAGAACTGGTTTTTTTTTAAATTCCCAATTAACAAAATTGCAGAATGAAGAAACTGGCTGAATTGCTAGATGATAAAAGAATTAAAGGATTAAGACATTGAAAAGAAGCTGAGAAAATTATTTTTATCTTTTTCCTAAATCAGATATGTTGATCATTGGGGCTTCATCAATGACTAGATTCAATAATGGCCTAAACTGAGACAGTAAACTAAGGCTGAATCCTGTCAAGAGTTGTCTGAATGAGAGATTCTTAGATTTGAACTTCAACCTATTCCAGATGGAGAGGAACTTTCCCAGAATACCTTGATTTAGTTTTGCCATTCGAGAGGCTTAGTAGCCTAGGAATGCCTTCCACCAGTCTAGCTTAGTTTGCTAGAGAAGTGATACAGTTTGACCACAATTATTTATGTTCTCACAACATTCTAATTAGAGAAGCTGATGCATACCTCATACTGTCAATGCCTTAAATAACTTGAGTGCCACATTTCTCAAGGAGCTCTTCTCTTTCAGCCTTTTTCAGATTTAAAATAATTAGGGAAAGTTTTTCTCCAAAGATCAGAGATACTCAGGACAGTAGGTTAGATTAATGGGTATCCCAAACAGCCTAGAAGGCACAATGACAGACTACCACCACCAAGAAATCAGAACAGGCATGTTTTTGAATGCACCAGGAATTGAGCTCACGCAACAGTACTCACCAGGGGTGGAAGGTAGGCAAAATGAGGCAAAATGACATTATGATTAAAGCCTGCCACTTCGATATAGAGTATGATGGCAGTGCAGTGAAGCTTTGATTGCAAACTGTGATTGTCATCTTGCCCCACCCACATTATTGGGGTACAATTAACACTGAAATTTTATTGGTTTTTTTGGGGGGGGAGTTCAATTTTGTTGGCTAAGCATTTGAAATTTTTAATTATTACAGTATTTATATTTGCCTTTTATTGCTGCATCCTAATATGGATTTATTAGGTTAATTTTTACACATTTTAAAATGAATTTAATTTTCTTCTGCTGTGACATGAAGAGCAATATTAAAATACTTTCTAAAAATTAGCAATATATTATAATGCACACATTCAGAACAAGGTTTTCCCATCCTTTTCTGCTACAATCTCTCATGTCATAGAAATGGAGGAGTTCCTCACTGAAGCCAGGTCCATCTGTAATAGAGTGATGTTCTAGTTCCTCTTCCAGTGATGGTTATGTTGATAATTGTTGGAAGGAAGGAAGGAAGGAAGGAAGGAAGGAAGGAAGGAAGGAAGGAAGGAAGGAAGGAAGGAAGGAAGGAAGAAGTTCTCAAGAAGAATTAGACATGAGAAAATCTTGCCTCAACCTGTAGAGTAGGGGGCAGGAGAAAGTGGAACTTTTTAAAATGAACATAGTTAAAATTAGGCTACAAAATATACACTGGGCAAACACAGAAGTGACCCAAGAAAGCTCTGAAATGAATGCATGTTTTTGGAGCTATCAATCATGCAGCAGCAGCAGCAGCAGCAACAACAACACTAATGGATTTAATTGGAACTCTGTCTTTAGCCTGTAATATTACATGAGGAGAACACAACATAAATATTTATGGTAGACATTTTTGGGACATGCTCAACAGCTAAAAAACTGGCTTAAGGCTAGCTAGTGTAAATGTAATATTTATAAATTTAATGTGTTAGCTCAGTTAGTTTAAATGCTCAAAACTGGGATAACAGCCAACTTTGGAGCTTGTGGCCATGAATTCTAAAATATCTTATGCACAACAGAGAAATGATGTCTGGAGGTTCCAGACAGTATAGCAATGTCTCTTTTAACTTGACAGACGGCATCTAAATGAGGTAACTCACTATATCTGCATAAGGAACCATAAAATAACTGCTTGGATATTTCTGGTATGAGCTGCAACTAAATAGTTGTTTTACTATGATGACTTGGGTTCAATGAAATTAGAAGGGTCTGCACAACTAGTTTGAGAGCCTAAAAATTAAACAGGTCATATGTTACTTAAATAGGAATTCTAACAGCTCTGGGTAGGAATTGTTTCAGTTATTTATTTATTATTTATTTATTTATATATTTATTTTCATGGAATTATATGCCACTCCTATCATTGAATAGGTCACATACCTGTCATCTGCAAACAAGATTAAAACAATAAAATAATAACAAGTAATAAGATTGCAAGTCTTGTTATGCACAAAGAACAAAAAAAAAAAAAAAACCACTGTTAAACCTCAATACCAGAGGGTACAGACTCATGATATATCAGCCCAAAGGTTAACCAGATTTTAATAGCTTTCCTTAATCCCAGCACTGCTGGAGCCAAATTGTATCTCCAAGAAAATGCCACACCAAAACACTTACTCTTGACTATGCAGTTTTTCTTATAGGAGCTCAAATAATAGCTTGTCATATATGTTATAAAGGCAAAGTCCACTTAAAGTGGTGTTGCCTTTTTGCAAGTAGTACTAAAATAGTTTGCATTTACCTTCTTTCTGGATAATTTTGCTTTCAATTTCCCAATCTAATCCATATTCCTAGAATTTCTTGATGGAATTTCCATTCAAGGTTCAACAATACTTATTTTTTTATTTTTTTTTTTGTGATCAGCAAAAACTGGTTAGGTATTGCTACTTGCTGTGACTTGAAAACGTGAATGGAGTTCTAACATATGCCAGTGAAACATGGACACTAACTTCACAATCAATACAAAAGCTACGAGTGGCACAAACAGACATGGAAATATACATGCTCGGCATCACAAGACAAGATAGAAAGATCTGCATATGGATATTCTCTCTCTCTCTCTCCCTCCCCCCCTCTCTCTCTCCCTCTCCCTCTCCCTCTCCCCCTCCCTTTCTCTCTCTCAACACTACCCTTGGATTTACACTAATGGGGTACAGCCAAGGTACATCTAAGGATGGGAGGCTGTTGAAGCACCAAAAGTGGTGACAATCCTCATTACTATTATAAGTATTATATTATTTCCTTATTTTAGGTAGTACCTTGGAGAGAAGGATAAAACTTAGGAATGCTCAACAAAATACCAAAATTAACATGAGTTTTGAACTGGCATTCCACTAATGTTAGTTCATTGGCTTGAATTCTATAGCATTTCTTGATCTACATTGAGATTACTGTATGACAGAGACATAAGGGGATGCAGGTAAACAATCTACATCCAGACTAATTCTTTACCAAAGAAAAGGACAGGTGGAAACCATCCCATCTGCCAAAAAAAGAATAACTTCAGACCTATCGGATTGTACAGGCAGGAGAATTAAGCACAATAAATTAATCTTTGATTTTACTGAAACCACTATTTCATTTGATACATAGCAGTTATTGAAATTGTCCTATAAAACCTACACCAGCTTCTCTGAGATACACCTTATCAGAAATATGTCCTTGAATGCCTTGGTACCTGCCTCCAACCTAGTGTACACAAGAAACATTTGCCAGTTTATGATATCACTGGGGTCAATTATACTATATGACCTACATTAGTCCATTCAGATTATAATGAAAGGCTTTATTGTTATTCATGGATGATTAGGGTATTAATGATCAGTAATCTTTGTTAAGCTTTTGAGTTACAAAATCCATCACAGTCAGGGAAGAACAACCCCCCCATCTAACTGCTAAAGATTATTTTTTACTATTATACTCTTATATGGGACTGCAAGAAGGTAGAGAGTGTTAACTGAAAACAAATGCATTAATCAGTAGAATAAATAAAATAAACATCAATTGCAATGCAAAGCCATAAGACTCCATAGCAACATAGGTGTTAAAGAGCTAAGCGAAATTTAAGATAGGATGGAACCTAAATTGTTATCCACAGCATGTTTAAATGCTAATAGTAAGGGCAAATGGGCCTTCAGAGGAAGGGGTAACTTAAGTTATCACTTACAGCTTAGGTGACCTAAGTGAAAAGGTTCTATCCTACATATAGACCATCAGCTGACTGATAGTGAGAAGAAAATGGGGAACCAGAAACTGAACTTGAGGTCAGAGCCAAGGGACAAATTGTTAAGACTCAAGGAACAAGTACTAGTCAGAACCAAATAATAGAAAATGTAACTACAGAAAAAGCAGGAGGAAGACAGAAAGGGCATACAGCACCACAGCAGAATCAAGAACAGTTTGTTCCTCAGAAAAGGTTCCAGCCTAAGCAGAAAGCCTTTCAGGGTCCAGGAAGACAAATAGAAATACCACCCCATAGTGCTTTACAGAATTCTCTGGGTGGGTTCATTTTGCATATTGCGTCTAATAATCTGAGTCCTCATTTTACCGATCCCGGAAGGATGGAAGATGAGTCAAACTTGAGCTGGTCAGGATCAAACTCCAGGCTGTGGTCAGAGTTTGCCTGCAATACTGTGCCACCAGAACTTTTCATGGCCAGCTTTGGCATGAATGTTCAGTCGAAAGATTTAGAAAATGTTTTGCTATTGGTAATATATTCCAGCCTAGACTTCCCAAAGTTTATCACACCAAGAAGTACATATATTCTTTACTTGTGAAAACCTTAATGACCACAACTTAAACCATCCCTGGAAACAAACTGGAAGCCAGCATATATTACAAATACATTCCAAACAGAGTCTCAGTTGAAAGGTGTTGCAAATTCTTTGAACAGGTATATGTAATACCTCATACTTTTGAGGAAATATACACTTTGTTGTGCATTTTATTACCTGGGAGGACAAGGTGGCATTTTGCAAGGGATGGCTCCAGTAGCTGGTCGACTCTTGTGGTCACATAAAGACATATCGACTTGTACTTGAAAATCTTTGTAGCAGGTTTCTTTTGTCACCATTTGACCTGCATATAACACAGCATAAATGGCAAGCACAAAATCATGAACAACTGTTTACATTCGAAACTCCATTTTTTTTATTATCTAAAACCACAGTGTCCATCTTACACAATCCTACGCAAACAATAAGCACACTTATATGACTACCTCCCATGGTTTGATTTCCCAAGTCAAAGACATGCTTTGTGCCTTAAGTATTAACTAAATTTCATGACTATTTGACAAACAATTCTGGGGAATATGATATATCATTTGCTCCTATTTGCTGCTCTACAGTTGTTTTTCCTTTCTGAAGCCTTTTTTTTAAAATTTTCATCCATGATTCTTCACTAACATGTAAACTCAGTTGTGTCTATTCAAGTTAGCTTGTTGTTAGCTCTGTATTAGCAGAAAAGGGATGCAGCTTCCTTTTTCAGTCACAGGGATGTATAATTCAGACACATTTTTTCAGAGAAAGGAAACAAGGGGATTATTTACAAAGTTCTCCCAATTCAAATGTTTTGATTTTATTTCTGGATTATTTCTTATTAATCCATCACTCCATTTTTAAATTTTATTTTCAGACAATGTCTGCAGTTTGTTATATCTCTCAGTTTACATTTCTTACCCTATTCTTATAAATCATCAATACATACGACTACAAACAAGCACTAATTAAATCATAGTACAAAACATATTTTGTGATCTGATAATGACTGATGTTTTATAATGATTCTGATAACTTTAAAGGAAAAAATGAATAGGAAACTGAAAATCTGAGCACATACCAGCTCTCAAATATATCAGAAAGTAATGCCAAAGGATGAAAAGACAACAAACTCACAAAAAGGTAATAAAATGAAACAGTATCTGCTAATTTATAAATCAACTAACTACAAAAATGTAGGATGCAGAGTTCAAGAACAACTGTATAGCTCTTATATTATGTTGAGTACATTTGAATTAGATAAAAGTTTAGAGTATTTGATTTGAAGTTTGCAAATAGGAATTATCTATCTATCTACCCCCAATTTTTCATTGTGTTAATTCAGGCAGCATTTAGCTCAGTGCAGGCAACTGCTTTATTGTTCTGTGTAGCTGTGATTCCAATTTAGAGTTTTTTTCTTTGCAAACCTGTGTACTTTTTTATGCCTTAGAATATGTGGAAGGTTACATAGTGATCAATCCTCATAAAATTTGTAAAAGCAAAATACAGTTTGGTCTGACACACACTATTAGTCTGAAGGAAAGTTTGACCCATTTCATTAACATGTTTAAACTTACATCTTGCTATATATAGTTTGACAAACTGTATGTAAGCCACCTTAGCTGAGATAGATAATGGCCTGGTGGGCAGAATCATTACCATTCTACTTCCCCATCTTATTCAGCTCCTACAGTTCAAACTGGTCTTTAGTCTTTTAAGGATTCTCACTGCAAGGAATTACCATATTATAGTTACAGAATACACTGATGCTCTATGAAGAAGAAAGAAAGGATGAGATGAAGTAGGTTTCAACTTATGTCGACTTCAGCTGGAAGAAACTCAGTTGTCATTATTTGGTGCCTTCTCCACTGAGTTCAAGTCCTCTCTAAACATGAACACTCGCCGTCTCCTGTTTTGAATCCTCCAAACCTGTCTCAATATTAAGAGGGCCTTTATAAAATGGATACAAGGGAGACTTTGCCTGAAGGGAATCACCTCAGACTACTAAGGTGGGTATGGAGATCCATATGGCAGACTTACTCTTATTCTCCTCAGCTTTTATCTTCTCCTTTTCTCCTATTGTGGGAGTTTCCCAGTTTCTTCATCTCTTCTATGAACACTTCTCTTAGTGTAAGTTTATCCTTTCCTTAATTTATTTTTGGTGTAGGTACTTTTTTTTTCATAACATTTTGCATGACTGATATAAATTTATATCAATCTACTAATACAAAGAGTGAGTGAGGGCAATGGTGGCCATTTAATATTCAGAGATGGAAGGACTATATTCTACAATTTATTCTAGTTCTATTATCAGTCTCTTTACCAATGCAGTCTCCCCATGCAGACTCTGCTATTTTTTATAGTTACATAATATATGGCTTGCCAGACGTCCAGACAATTTAGTCATGCATTTTATGGACCTGCCCATCACATGCTGTCTGTGCAATGACTAACAAGAAGCTCAGAAAACAGCTGGCAGCATGTCATCTTCCCAGCAAGGTGAGTGACTCTGAATTGGGAAGAAGGCAACAACTTTTTAGTTTGACAAATAAATCAGACTCCCCCCCCCCCCAAATATGTACAAACATTCAGGGGAAGAATTGGCTCCCAAAATAATAAAATATGGACTATCATTTTAAAAATTGATATAGGAAGAAACTAATTTCAAATGAAACTCCATCTCATAAGTTGTAACTCATTAGTTCATCTGGAGTGGACCCTAGAGTTGTTTCCATGACTATTTTTAAATCTAGTGGAGTAATTATCAAGGCCATTGTGTGACCTGTAACTTTTCCTTGTTAAAGTTACATGCAACACTTGTTTAGCTACATCAGAGACACTGCATTGATTTTAAATAATTCTTAGAATATTTTTTTAGGAAATTCTGCCCCACCCACTTTCAAATCATTGTCACATTCTCCACCCAATGTATCATTGAAGCCATTGAATGCTTGGCCAGGTAAGTAATATTAAGTGTTACTGTCAGACAACAAAAGGTTATCTGTCTCTATTCTGTCTGAAGTGTTACTATAATACCATACAATTATTGAGACAAACAAACAAGCTAAAAATTATTAGCACGAGTTATGGACATCGCTACAATTTACAAAGTTCAGAATTGCATCAGTGGAGATACATTTTATTGAAATGAGTAGATCTCTGGAAGTTAAAATGGACAAAGAAAAAACAAACTGATAAAATACTTGGAACAATAAATATCCAGCTGCCAGTGTGTCCAGCTGTGTTTCTTCACTGAAGAAATGTGTGTGCATTTAACGCATTGGATTCCATTGTTTGTCCACTGCAGCTTCCTACTTGTTGGGGGGGGGGGAAGGGATGTTTATTACAACCAAAATGAAATTGGGCTCAGGATGAGGTTTGCTTTTTGCCATTCTTTTATCTTTTTATACTTGCAGCAGAAATTTTCTGCAAAAACACTGCCTATTAAGCATTTAATTCCAGCCTTAGCAATATGTAATTTAGTAATGGTTAACTAATAAATTCATTCAGGTGATATTAACACATACCAATAAATTTAAAAAAATCTAAAATGAGATTAAAAGGAAAGATTGAAGAAGAGCAAAAAATCACTTTAAAATTCTGCTACAATTTGACAAGCATAACCCTCTTAGGTCAAAGGCAGAAGTAACTGTATTGAAGCTGCTGAGACAAAGATCAGCTTCAATTTTTAAGGATCACAGTCATTTTGACCTTTACCTTTTACATGACATCACCTCTTCATTCTCCAGGTGGCAGATGTTTACACAGAACAAGCAATAGGGGATTATTGCCCCATAAACAGACAGCTCAGATGCAGATTCTGGCCTCTAACAATCTAATTTTCATCTTGTCAATCATTGGTAGCTACCCAGATTAGTCTAGGTGACAGCATCTTAAATGGATAATAATAGGCATGTGTCTTCATGGGGTTCTCTTACCACAGATTTTCCCACCCTGTTTTCAGATTAGACCGAACTTTAGCTCTATCTTAGTCCACAAAGCAATAACAAGAGTTGTAAATCAATAGACCTGAAAGGCAATAGTTTGGGGAATATTATTCTGGAACAGAGGAAAGCAGCTAACTATTTCAGAGGTCATTTTGAGCCTCCAGTTTTACCATCTATACTGCTCAAAAAAATAAAGGGAACACAAATGTATAGGATCGTATACATTTGTGTTCCCTTTGTTTTTTTGAGCAGTATAGTTCTCAGTCTGTCCAAACTCCTCATCTTTTGCATTATTACCACCTTAAGCAAAACAGAGTCCTTTAATTTCCTTCTTCAGTAACATAAAATAATGCCAAAAAAGAAAATTACTGTCTTTTGAAGAATAACAAAAATCTAGTTTCAGCCTTGAATCCAAAACTCAAAATTTTGCTCGTTAGACTATATAACTAGATACACCTAAGATACATTGTAGATAAATAGATACACTTTACATAGATACACACAGTGCTTTTTTTTTTTTTAAAAAAAGGTGCTGTAACTCACACATGTCATACAACCCGCCTTGCCTACCCTCAAGGTTCCATCCAATAAAGGTGCCGGAACTCCGTTCTGGGTGTTCTATGACACAAAAAAAGCCCTGGATACACATATGAAGTGTTTCTGACTAATGCCACTCCAGACCCAAAGTTATCATTATGTTGAATAAAAAATAACTACTTGTAAATCCTTTTGAGAGGTACTATTTAATTTTGAACTTCCAGATAAGAAATAGCAGACTAAATACCACTCCATGAAAAGTGGACCCAACAATTGCAGTGGAAGAAGACCTGGTAGTAAACTGGCTCTTTGAAACCTCTCTGGACAAGGAGAGGATTTGAGATTGCCCACAAGTGCTCCAGGCAGCTCATAAGGAGACCATAAGATTAATGGCCTCTGTGGGTTTAGAATTCTGTGAGATGAGGGAATCTTGCTCAAACCAAGGTCAATGCCCTTAAAGGGACACTACTTTACATATTACCTCCTCCAATCACTTTTGGAAATTGCTTGTTACTGGAAACTCTTATAGACGTTTTGCATAAAACAGAAAAAATAAAATTATGATTTATGGATTACACAGCACAGTTTCCTTCAATCCTTAGTAAAAGAAAGTTTTAACTATAACTTTAAGAATTTAAATTGGAATAATTCACAAAAATTCAACTTTGATTTCAGAAAATTATAAATGGAATAAGGGTCCAAATAAATTTGAAATAAAATTTTGGAGTTAATTCTGATAAATCCTTCCCATGGGAAAATATTTTTGTTTTGATTTTTTTTTTTTAAAAAATAAGATTTAAAAATTAGGCAATAGAGGCAGAAGTTATTACAGAACATTGACGAATTGGCTTTTTTGGCAGCTGCAGTACACCGCTGGCTCATACTTAAGTAATTGTCCACTAGGACTCCTAGATTCTTCTCAAAGTTACTGCTGTTAAGCCAGTTACCACATATTCTATACCTACACATTTGGTTGTTTTTTTTTTTTTTTTTTTACCTAAATATAAAATTACAATTAAAGGAGAAAAACTCACAAATTTGAATTACAGTTATGTAAGTGAACAAAATAATCTAACATATGACATATTGAAGGATGTTTTTGAAAAATGGGCTCAGTAATTAATTTTATAGTGTCGACAGAGACATCTGCCTCACAGGAAGGACTGTGTGTAAAAGATGTTATCCAAGCTGAACAAGTTTACTTGACAAGATTGAGACTAGGTTGAAAGAGGATTTACGAAGGTCAGGCTGCAAGAATGACATGGAAAAAGATGCTGTATTGGACATGCAAAAGAAACTGGCTGGTATTTAATAATTAAAAGTGATATACAAATAATAAACCAAGAAAGTGACCTGGATAATTTTCCTGCATTGGATTTAGAAAAGAGACATTAAAATTTTGAAGAACCTCATGCGAAAGAACAAAGAAAAATGAAAAGAAATCAAGTGCTAAGACATGATTTGAATGGACTAAAGATTACAATTGTTAAAGGAAGGAATATATATGTTGTTATCTCTGTTAACCTTTAATGAATCTTTGTTGACGCCAGGACTGAAATAACAATGCTTTATGGATTTGTTTATTAATAAGAAATGGGATATGGAAAGAAGAAACCACTTGTTGTACTGATAAGTTACTAAAATTATTTATACTTCTATTGATGAAGATAAGAACTCACTTCTCTATGTGTGTGTGTGTGTATTTCTTTACTGTATTCTTATTTTTCCTTCTTTTGTATTTCTTTCTTCCTTGTCTCCTTTCTTTTCTGCATTTCTACTCTTCCTTTTAATTTTCTACTTTAGTTTGTATTAGTTTTTACTGTTATAATCTTTATTAAAATTATTATATAGACATACTACACTCTTTAATTTTTGTCATCAATGTCCTGTTCAAAAGATAGTATTGGGGTGACATATAAAATATTTTGAGTTTCTAGAAATATTGGTATTATTTTTTTCAGTTTGTTAATAAAAAATGATCAGCATAACAAAATATCCGGTGTCTTTCCCTTTGTCTCTAATATTTAAGATAAAACTTAAGAGGTAGCTGAAATAAATAACTTATTAAGGAGATTACTATCCAAGTGGACTACTGTATACTTCAGAATCGACTGAATGTGCCTAAGAAGGTCTGATTTCTGAAAATGGAACACTTTGTAGTCTGCAATAAAACTATATTTTAAAACATTTCAGAGATACCTTACCTGCTCCACATGAGACTGAGCATTTAGAACGGATGATGGCCCACGTATAGTTATGTTTTAATATTTTTGTTTTTTCGGTTTCCACTTTAGGAAGAGAATATTCCCACGCAATTCCTAGATTTTTATCTTGTAAGAGAAGCTGATAAAAGGAAACAAAGGAAGCTATCAGTTCATGCTTAGAGTGTGCTAAAATATGAACGCTTCCATAATTAGGAATTCCTGGCCAGATAAATAAATACAACATAAAATCATGCTTTGAAAATATCTGGAATGGTTCAGGTAGAACTGAGGTGAATCTAGAGAATTATAATATTTGTGTAAGTATAAAATGCACAAATCTCTGGCATAGAAGTAAGGATCTTATTTTGTCTCTTTTAGTTCACGAAAAATGGATTTGCTTAGCAAAGTAGGGCAAGTGTGTCTCAGTGACTAGATCTGGTCCATCAGCACAAATTAGTAAATATTCTGTTGAGATCTTCAGATTTTATACTTAAGAAAGGGTGTGTAAAATTAAACCATTTGATCATCCTGTGGCTATAATCAGAAATGTTGTGGGTGATCCATAAATGCTGTTTTCATTGCTCTTGGGAGGATGGAATAATTTAAGTTGGCAGCAGCATTCTGGGGAAGAGGTACTGATCATGGTGTGGCCAGTGGATGAAAGTCTTAACATCTGAGAAAGTTCAGCTTACTAGCCAATAACTGCTTGTTAGAGCTGGAGTCCACAGAGTGACCCAAATGATATCAGGCAGAAATTTGGGCTCCATACCACCTGACCCTGACATTTCTATTTCTCTGGCAGCAAATTTTGACTTAGATCACATCATGATAGGGAGAATGACTTGAGCTGCTGCATTAGCACAATTAGCACATTAGTACAATTAGCACATGGTACTCTTAGAAGCCTGCTGGCTGTCTATTCCCATTACATTCCCTACAAAGTGATAAGACACATTAAAACAGGTTTAAATATCAGAACATATATATATATATATATATATATATATATATATATATAACCACGTGGAACAGCCAGAGTTAAGATCGATATATATATATATATATATATATATATATATATATATATATATATATATATATATATACGACTTTCTTTTTTACAAATAAAATCTTATGTCATTGGAATCTGTCTTGTCTGTTCACAGTTTTAGATATGACTAATGAATTCTTTTCTTCTGTTACAGTTCCTCAGTTCATGGAAATGTGTTGAATATCTAATTGGCTATGCCTGAAGGAAACCATTACCCGCAAGGACAGCTTGCTGAATAAGTGCAAGACACCATCCAGTTTGACTAATCTTCCAGTTGCTTACGCACTGAACATGAAGTGGAAAGAACTGTTTTTTTTTTTTAATTAGTGGCACTGATTTAGGGTAACTCTTTTAATAAAGTAAATTTATTTATAGTCTGCCATTCCAATAAAAGTTATGGCAAGTTAGTTTTGGTATTTAAATTAGTACGCACAACATAAATAAATTGATAGCAACAACCTCCCAAATATTTGTATTCTTTTGATGATGGCATGCTCTGTGGGAATTAGATACATGCAGACTGTTGAAGAAATGCAAGTTCCAAGGTGACTCAGGACCATTAAAAAGGATTTGGCATAGAGACTGCTATGCCAAGGGAACAACATGAGATGGAATTTGTGTACCTTTCACAGATAACTAAAGAAAGAAAATGAAGCAAAATGAGAAAGGAGATCCAGGTTTTTCCAGCTAAGTTTTAACTATAACCCTTGATTAATTTGTTGGGGAATTTAGCAGCAGCTATATTATAAGATAAACACATTGTCATTTTAGTAGAAGCAATACTGTTGTTGGCAGACAGAGAGTTAATCTCTGAATTGTAGAGCAATTAGGTTATAAATTAATGAAAGCAGGAATATACCCACCCTCCCAAAATCCAAATTGTTTGTAAGAAGGAACTAATCACTCCTGAACATTGATGGCACACAATTTTAATGGATTATTTCATTACTGCAATTACTGCTTATCTTATAATATAGCTGGTACTATATTAACAAGTTAATCAAATGTATTCTATCATTTTTATGGGGCATATTTTACTTTGCATTTTTCTATATAAGCTTCTGGGAATAATTTTAAGGATAGCAGCATAGAATTACATTTAATAAATAAATAGATTTCCAGAAGAAACAAATGTATGGACATCCTACCCCTCCATTGTATTCTCCATAGTTATCCAAGCTTATTACTATTCAAGGGCACTGCAGAAAGAAAACTGCAACTCCCCCAACAACTTTGAAGGTGTAGAACAGTGGTTCTCAACCTTTTTAATGCCGCGACCCCCAACCGGTCGTAAGCCGAGGACTACTCAACAGGTCGTAAGTCGAGGACTACTCAACTGGTGCAGCACCGTTTGCAGAACTGGGACTTTTGGCGGGCTCAGCAGGGCAGAGACAGCCTGGACAATTCCTATTGGCTTTTGAAAGCCAATAGAATTAGACTCTATTCAAGAGAGTCTATTCTATTGGCTTTCAAAAGACAATAGAATAAAAGGGAGTAGCACAGCTAAGGAAAAGGGGGGAAAAATGGCGGACTGCATTGTTTGGCGACCCCCGTGAAATGGTTGTTCGACTCCAAATGGGGTCCCGACTCACAGGTTGAGAACCACTGGTGTAGAAAATTGGATAATTTTGTTGTTGTTGCTTGGAGGCAAAATCTCAGAAATGTTACTCAGAAATATGTTTTTGAAAATAACATCCCTGCTCTAGTTCAATGTTTCAGCTTCAATGTTTTATGTTCCCTTGGAATAATCTAAGTTGTCCCAAGCTTCTGGGGATTTTAGAGTAGGAACTAATTTCCTTCCTTCCTTCCTTCCTTCCTTCCTTCCTTCCTTCCTTCCTTCCTTCCTTCCTTCCTTCCTTCCTTCCTTCCTTCCTACCTTCCTTCCTTTTACTTGAATGCTCTATTTTTAATTTGCCTTTTGTTTGTTTTGAGATTTTGTCCATAGATATCCCCAGTTCTTCTTACCAAACAAATAATATAAGTATACTCTATACTACTAATTGAAATTGAAACTAAATTCCCCAAATAGGGGACAACTTGGATTATTCCAAGATTAACTATTATTCATTGATTGCACTCCAACAACATGTAAAAGTGTACAAAACAATCAGATTCCTTTGTGACCTCATTCTGTCTTCTCGCTGAGATTTGGTCTAGCAGCAGCAGGAAAGGAGGAAAATAGTTAAGTTCTTCTCTAGATCTTTATAAAATCTATGTAATATTTATAAGAGAGCATCAGGAATTGCTGAAGCTTGTATTTTGACTGCAGTGCAAATTCCGAGACAAAGCCATAATGTCAGTTATAAATATCCCATGGCTTGCTATAGTGTAGGTTAAATTGCAATAAGTCGTCAATTCAGGAAGAAGGAACAGAGCTATGAAGCCTAATAAAATTATGTTCCTTATTCAATATGTTATGTTCCAGTATTGTATTATGACTGTTCCAGGGGAATAACAATGGAGAGGCTATAAACAGAGATCAGGTTTTCTTAACCTGCATTATCCATGTATTGGACTTCTCGGTCGACATGATAAAACATTGGAGTCCTTCCAAAATCAGGAATTCTAATTATTTTTATACAGTGAACAATATTCCATGACCATATCACCTACCTCTATTACAATGCTTTCATTTGTAGGTCCAGAAGCACTTAATGTCTCTGGGTGGTTATGTGGTCTTTGATAGACAAACAGCGTTCCAGCAAATTTGTATTTCCCAGGCCAGTCAACAGTCCAATAGCCATTGAGGTGGTATTTTTTATTGGAAGTACGAACAGCAATATAGGAGTTGGATATATTCATCTCATACACATTAATGCTTCTTGCTCCAGCAGGGATTGTGACTAATGTATAGTATTCTAGATAAAGGAAGAAGAGAGACACTCCATAATGCAATAGCCAGGTCCAGATGAAACTACAGACTTTAAGAAATAAGTAAATAAAGATCTAATAACCTCAATGTAAGTTTCTGCTAGGAATCTGGAGAGTTAAAGTGAAGACCTCATGATATAATTATTCTTTTATATTAAATTCTATATGCAAGGGTGCCAAACTGCTGGCTCGCGGGCTGGATGCATCATAGTGAAACCACACCCATCCCATTGTCGGCAATAGCAAAAAAGTTGTGATACGTCACGACATGTCATGTGAGGTTGGGAGTTTGACACCCTGCAGTAGAGAGTTCACTGATAGATTCAGAATTGCAGCTTTAGACATGCAGAGGGCCAACACTGTTGACCCTGTAGAAATTATGTTATAACCATTACAAAAACAAGTTTTAAGATTTATATCAATATATTCTAGATGAGTCTGTTTCCTGATCTGACCTATCTCAAAGGGCTTCTGTCCTGAAAGTCTCACTGTTTTCCCTTCCCTCCTTCTTATAGCCCAGTGGTTCTCAACCTTTGTAATGCCGCGACCCCGAACCAGTCATAAGTTGAGGACTACTCAACCGATCGTAAGTCGAGGACTACTCAACTGGTGCAGCACCGTTTGCAGAATGGGACTTTTGGCGGGCTCACCCACAGGTTGAGAACCACTGAGCTATATGTTAAACCACTGGATTTTTTCCTTATTTTTGTCTTCGCTTTGATCTTACAGCCTTTGAATAAGAGCCTTTGTATTTTCTGCATCTTGAAAGGCCTGGACAAAGAACTAAAATTGAACATACTCTTTGCATTAGTGAAGATGTATACTGATTAAAAAAATCACCAGAATCAAGTGGTAAACCTTTATTGTAACACTTCAGATTTCATGTAATATAGACAAGTTGTACATTTCACACTCTTCCCAAAAGTCAGAGAAAGTGAAACTCCGTATATATTAGTATGTTCAGCCAGCCAGCCAACCAAGTGCGTAGGTTAAGGAGATATCAAATTACCTTCATATTAACTGTCTTTTGACCCATGTGAGACATTTCCTGAAATATCCCCCCTTTGCCTTCAGTAGTGACCTAGTGCAGGAAGGCCATCACACTCTAATGCAGTGGTTCTCAACCTTTTTAATGCCGCGACCCCCAATAGGTTGTAAGTCTAGGAGTACTCAACTGGTCGTATGTCGAGGACTACTCAACTGGTGCAGCACCGTTTGCAGAATGGAACTTTTGGCGGGCTCAGCAGGGCAGAGACAGCCTGGACAATTCCTATTGGCTTTTGAAAGCCAATAGAATTAGACTCTATTCAAGAGAGTCTATTCTATTGGCTTTCAAAAGCCAATAGAATAAAAGGGAGTAGCACAGCTAAGGAAAAGGGGAAAAAAATGGCGGACTGCGTTGTTTGGCGACCCCCGTGAAATGGTTGTTTTGACTCCACGTGGGGTCCCGACCACAGGTTGAGAACCACTGTTATAGCCCAAGGACTTAGGGCAGAGCTAGTGTGAATTTCTTTATAATGCTCTCTTCATTTCCCAGCCTTGAGGTAGGTTTTTGTAACTGTTGCTATATATGGTAGCTTCTCCAAAGACATCCCTTTAGCATTCTACATGGAGCTATTTCAACTGTATGAATTCAGACTTTAAAGGCATCTTTAAATGTAGGACATTGATTCTTGTGAATAATGGTTACAGTCCTCCAGATAAATCCCTTTCCAAGGAGATGCAGAGCCTACATGAGGATAAAGAAATAAATCCCGAGAAGCCTGTTTCTGAAGTCTTGGTCAAATTTCCTCTCAACCCTGATCCTGCCATCCTGAAGTCAGGTTCTGAAACAAGTTCATAGACATGCGTGTTAAATCATCTTTTTTTTTTTTTTAGTTAAACACTGGAAAGCAGAGCTAGAAAGAAGTGCCACATTGTTGGGAAAAATAAGTGTCCTTTAAAGCCTCCTCAAAAATAGGCTATTTCTCTTAAGTCGATAAGCAATAACAATGGGATATAAGCAACACCAATTATGTTGTAGTGGGATTAAAGCCTGTCCTTGATTTTTTTTGCAACACTGAAACATAGTGTTTCAGTTGAGGCCAACCTGACCTAGATTTCTCTCTGTTTTGAAACTGTGATATTCTAAACAGGGTAACACGCCATCTATTCCTGAAGTTTCAAATAGTAATACTGTAGAGTCATCATCTTGCTGGGCATGTAACATGGAGAAGAATTCCGTACAGTTTCTATACCCGAAGGATGCAGCCTTTTCTCAAAAGGATGCTGGGTCTAGGAGATACTTGAAAAACAATAAGTCTTTCTATTATTTTAAATACTGAAACCAATAGATACGCTCATAGCCTACTATGTCACCAAGAAATGGTGTTGGGCCTTGAGCAGTGTTACACCAACCATGTTCTTGCCTATTATTCTGCAGGGAAGAGGGGTAAAACATAATAACAGACTGACTACCAAGAGCATTACGCATCATGTCATTTGATAAAAAATAACAAAAACCTGGAGTCAATATGAAAATATAGTAGGGAAACTACAGTATCACATGGGGGTCTACAAGCTCATAGGGTAGCAGATTCATTTGATGTTTTTGATAGCATATTATGGAATTTCAATAAAAAGCACTGTCCTATTTGGCTTGTACAATTGGCTGCTACAAGGATATGATCAGTAACAGACCAAGTTACAAGAAAGTAAACTGAAAAAGCTGAACCCTATCCTCCTCTCTATTCCTCAGTAGATTCATTAATGTTTTTATCCAGTTGGATGGTGGGTCTCTGCTGAGATCTTTTACACGTATTAAATGTAGTTTTCTAGCCTTCAAAGAAGAAAGGACAAAAATGTTTAGAAAGCAGCTTTATTATCAGTTTTATGGAAGTAAATCATATGTGCTGAGTCTTCATAAAACTGCCCATTTAATTTGTTTTTATCATTCTTATTTATATAGACATGTACAGTGCTTTTTTGTAAAAAAAAAAAGTGGCGGAACTCATAGATGTCATACAACCCGCCTTGCCTACCCTACAAGGGTCCATCCAAAAAAGGTGCCGGAACTCCGTTCTGGGCGTTCTATGACAAAAAAAGTCCTGGACATGTATGCCTTTTTCTGTAAATAAGCATGGAAATATTTTTCCTCTAATAATTTCATGTAGATAATTTTTAATTATTCATTATATTGAAAATATTTTTAAATTCTTACGATTTGTAGTGTGTTGTTTTGTGTACTGCCCTTTGTACATTCTGCAACTTGAATTATCTCCTTTGCATACTCCACAAACATCTTCTACAGCATTGGAGCCTAAGACATGATCACAGCCAACCACCTGCAAAAAAAGGACTCCCTTGATGCATCTAAAGTTACATAACATACAGTAGTTTAATCTCAAGGTTTACAGATAAGAATCAAAATACTTCATTTTGCTGGACATTTTGGTGTATAAGAAGTCTTATGGAGAAAAAGACTGCATCTTTTATTTACATACTATTGCATTATGTTTATGTATTATGCCTATTGTTTACATATTGACTTATATTTTATTAATACCAAACTATTTTCATTTGTGTTACATCTAAAACATGGCTTCTCCCTCTTGCATATACTGTGATTCTTTTCAAAGTGCTTACCTGGCCCTTCTTGCCATTTTAGGCTGTCTAAATGTGAAAGAAAAATAAAGAAATATAACGCAGTGCTGAACATTTCATTTATCGTTTAATAGAGAAATAGCTAATACCTTCACCATTCGCTGCTCATTCCAAAGGACCTCATCCTCCATGAGTATTTTTCCTGAGTATTTTTTCCCCTATCTTAATTAATAGCTAAATTGGAGAAAAATATTTGAGGAAAAGGGTTTGCAGAGATGCTATTGATAGAAGGAATGGAGGCTTCACACTTGCATTTTTTATTTTTATCCTCTTCTATGTAAAAGTTTGGAGCAGGATTTTGGACAAAGAGCTTAGCTGTTTTCTAAGTAGCCCCTACTATTAAAAATGTAGTAGTTCCACTGTTGACTATTGACTGCTTTTATGTGGTATTTTATGGTAGGTGTTCTGAAATTCTTTGAAATTGAATTGAACTCTGAATTAGTTATAAAAACAGCAATTTTTGTGAAATAAATAGGAATAACCATTAATTTGAAAGGTAAATTCTCTGTTTGTTCATAGAACTATAGAGTTAGCCCTTTGCATGCCCATAGTGTTGTTAAGGGCTACTTAAATCCAATTCCCTGCCATTGCAGGAATCCTTTTTTAATTGTTTTAAATTTATGCTATACCAATTAAGGACAATAAAAATCCAAATACATATAACAACATTAAAGGATCAACACAATTTCAAAACTGATGAACAAAGCAATTAAAAAGTAGATAAATAAAAAAATCTTGGAAAGTAAATACAAATTAAAGCATCCCAGACACAGAGCTGTCTAGATTTTCCCTGAACACATCGAATGAAGACAAATCCATCATTGTACCTTAAATCCATTATTCTGAGTCCTGAACTCTGAATGAGAGAGAAGAGGTCTTGACCTTCTATGACATCCTTCAGGTACGTGAAGAATGCAATTACATGTGCTCAGTCATGTCTCCAAATACCCTGCTTCTTCACTCTTTCTCCACAGGACTTAGTTTATATCATTGTTGTCCTTCTCTGAGCCTATTCCAATTTCTTAGAATTGTTCTTCAGTTGTGATGCTTAGAACCCAAAGCAGTGTACAGGTAGTTGTTGACTTATGACCATAATGGAGCCTGCAAATTTATAAATCATGAGGCCATAAGTTGAGGCACCTATGTGACTGGACTTGATTTTATAACTTTGATTGTGGTGGTTACTTACTGAATGCCACAGTCATTAAGTGAATCCAGCAATTGTTAAGCAAATGCCACAATTTTTAAGCAAATCAATGTATTCCTCTGAGTGTTTTCTTTTTGGTGGAAACCATCCAAAAAGGTCAGAAACTGGCACAAATTACAGTATTTTGCAGTCATGTGACTGGCTGTAAAAGTGAGCCAATTGCCATGGGCCTTAAATGTGGTCATGTGATTTCAGGGGTGTGTGCAGCCATTGGAACTCTGGAACTGGGTTGTAAATAGCTTTTGGAGGATGTACCATAACTTTGAACCATCACTAAATGACTACCTGTAAAGTGAATGGTTAATTCCCAAGAACTGGAAATTATAGTTCTATTGATATAACCTAAAAGTATATTTGCCTTTTTTGTACCTATTGCACTACTGACTCATATTCTCTTTCTAGCCAATTAATATTCCAAGATTTTTTTCCTGGTATCCCCTATGTATTTGATTTAATTGAAAAACTTCATCTGATCATGGAGATTTAAGCTCTTTCAAAGTAAAAAGATATTATCTGACCACATTTCTATCCATCTCAAGCTTCACTCCTGCCCTTCCTCCTGCTCTTCACAATTTTCTAGTGAAAGACACATTTTTTTTTTCTTGGAAACAGCTGAACCAACGTAGAAGTTGAGGAGCTTTGCCTTTTCTTTGTACCCTGTTATCATTTTGTCTTCTTCACTAGCAGCTGGTATATAGATTTTTGCCATTTCCTTTTATTTTGAAAATATCTATGGAAACCATTTTTGTTATTTTCAGTGTCCTTCACCAACTTCAGTTCATTTTAATTTTTTGCTTTCCTAATTCTAGCTTTATATTTGTGGGCTCCCTGTTTCCTTTGTGATTTGGCTCTATTTCTGTTTTGTAATGTTAGTTTTATGCAGCCCAGAAATACAATGTCAGTTGCACAGCAATGATGAACATGAACTGACTATGGAAAAGCAAGGACATCAGCCTGACAACCAAATGTAGGCTGGTCCGCTTTATTGTGCTCCCTGTAGCTACCTATGGTTATGAAAGTTGGATCTTTAAAAAGCAAGACAAGAAGAAAATTAACTCATTTGAGCTGCAGCGCTGGAGAAGCTCCTGCGTATTTCTTGGACAGCAAAGCTGACTAACAAGCAAGTACTGGAGCACATAATACTAGACATGTGACTAGAAGGCAAAATAACAAAATTGCGCCTCACTTATTTTGGACATGTCACGTGAGGGAATTCATTGGAGAAAACAATTATGTTTGGAAGATTTAGCTGTAAAAGGAAACTAGGCCACCAAAGAACACGGTGGTTGGATACTATGAAAGCTGACACCAGCTAGTCCATAGAAAAACTCAAAGACACCGTGCAAGATTGGAACATATGGAGAGACCTGGCCCATAGAATCACCAAGAGTCGGACATGACTGAATGGATAACATCATCGTCAATGTTATTTTTAGAACCAAAGAGAGACTTTGGGTCAGACATTTTGGGCTGAGAGAGAACGATTGGCAAAGATTACCCATCTGCTTTAAGCCTAAAGCAGGATTAGAACTCACAGTTTCTCAGTTTCTAGCCTGGTGCCTAAACCACTACACCAAACTGACTCTGTAAATACTAATTAGAGATACGAAATGCATAGTAACAACAAAGAAAAGTACCTGATTTCATCATTACCTCACAAATACCATCAATACAAACATTGCGGCTATCCTCCGAACAGGGTGTCCCATCTTTTACTTTGTTTGATAAAGAAAAGAAGAAATCAAAGCCTTCTGCAATACAGTATAGTTTGCACAAATATTGATCTGAAATGGAAAGAGAACAAGAAGCCTTCTTTTATTTTTTCTACACCACTATTGCTGGAAGTAAAATATGAATAAACCTAAAACCACCTAAAGACTGCAAGTGATCCAATGGGACAATTTTCACAAGTCAGTTATTAGACATTGTAAACCTGGTAACTGAAATAAATTGTGTCTTTCTGCTTTACTGATAGTTTACATTTGTGATTTTTAATACTTAAAATAACTCTAAACGTAAGAAGGAAAATGTATAAATCAAAGGCCTGATGAAATTGAAAGCTGAGTGTTTATAACTTAAAAGATGAGAGTTTTCACTTCATGTATATTTCCAAATGAAATAAGTTAGCTAAAGAAGTGCTTACATTTGGCTGGATTAAATCCTAAATGAATGAATAAGGGCTTTTATCATGCTTTCAGTGCTATTTATTTTAAAATAAATACATTTAAATAAGGATACATTGAAGTGTTGATTTTAAAATGCATTTGTAATTTTCAAGCTGTTGGGAAAAGGTCAAACCATTACAATGGCATTAACGAAGAAAATTATGCAAATTCATAACATGTATGTTCGGAAGAAGAATTAAAACATATGTTTCTTATATATACATTAACAAAGCTTATGTTGTTGCATTGCTTTCTTTTATTCTTGTTCTTTTCCTTCCACATTATTCTTTTTCACTTTGTTCTCTTTTATTAAATAAATAAAGCAGAAAAGAGAGAGAGAAAAAACATGTGCAACTGCACCTATTTTTCTCCCATTGAGATTCCTGGAAGGCAACATCTTTAACGCTCCTAGATTGTGATCTTCCTTCTATGCTTTTCCTTGTGGTGGTGCATTCTAATACATCCCAAACACTCCCTAGATAGAATGCTTAATATTAGAGGTGATCTTTATAAAATACATTCTCTTGATGTTTAACAATTAAACTTTCAAAATGAACCATTTCACAATTTAAAACAGAAATGTGTACAATCTGAAGCCCTCTGGCTGACTGCAGCTGGTCTGATTTCTTGGGGTGGGGGCTGGTCTTATCACATGTGCAATTTCATTCTTCTGACACTTTCAAACATATTTAAACTCACCTTCTACTTGAGTATATGGTTTCCACTTGTAGTGCCAGCCTCTGAACCGCTTGCTGTTGAATTCTGCACACTGAGCAGCTCTAAAGCTAATGCTATTTGGGGGACACTTCTGAATGTTACAAAGCTTCAACATCCGAGAGGAACCTTCACAGAATTTCCCTCGATGCGAAGGTCTACAACATTAATGGAAAAACTACCTCAAATCTGTTATTAATTAATAACATAATTTTAAATAACCCAACAAGCAGTGGAAAATGCATGAGACATTCATACAGAAGAAGCTTGTGACTGAAATGTTCTTATCCCATCAGCCTGATATGCATATAATTATGATAAAAATCAGTTTTACAAAGTCATTGCTGTCTGCATAAAATTTGCAAGGTTCAGTGACGGGGCACAGGGCAGTTCCCCATTTACTCACATTCTGCTCACTGTTTTCCATGTGAGCATAATTCATCTAGAACTAGGCCAAAATGATTGCCCCTAATTTATCACCCAATTCACAGGCTGCTGACAGTTGGGAAATTAGCACCTTCAAGTGGTGCAATGATAGGATACTTGCTCAGGAATAAAATTTTGCATGTCATTTTTCCTTGCCAGAAAACCTCTGAAAAGGACTATACAATTTAAAAAAAAACCTGTCAGTAATTTTCATTTTTTTTGAGAGAGATGATGTTGGTGTTGCACTACATTGAGAATTTCTCTTTTCATCATGAATTGATTCTTTTTTTATGAAATGGAAAGCCATACAATTCAAGGAAAAATGATATGCAAAATTTTATTCTTGAGCATTGGTTGTGACATTAACTCATCTATTTCCACTCCAGCTAGCTCTACTATACTCACAGCACTTTCATTAAAGTATGTAATGCTATTTTGGAAACTTGGAAAGCCCAAGAAACATTATTTTTGAAATTAACACTATGTATATTCTCCAGTTAAGTATGCATCATGTTGAGGGGGTGGGGTGGGGTGGGGTGGGGAGAATGTGCTAAATATTCTTCAACTATTGCTCCTTGTGCCAAGGAAAGTCAAGTGAGAAGCTTAGTAAAGTGGATTGTGTATCATATCCTAAGTGTGCCACCTTCAACTAAAATATAAGCATTTCCCTCTCCCTATTGTCAGTTGTGTCCTTAGCATTATCATTGTGGTGAAACTGGTGCAAAGATGTTGAGAAAGTATCCTTTCCATTCACTTATGACAGTCAGATGGAGAATGGATAAAGCTCTGCCAATTTCAGTATATATATATCTTTTTCAAAATTGGCTGGTCTGATCTAAGAAGGTTTAGAAAGGAGACTGAAGTGGCAGAGCTCTTCTATGTGAGGCATACTTAAATAAATAAAAGCAATATGGTTGGGTCTGCTGAACAGATCAAATTTTTAATGATGCATACCATAAAATTAAATGAAGCAGACTCTGAATGATGGATCGGAATGCACCCCTTGCAAATGCAAATAGAAATGCAGCTTTTAAATAAGTGCTCGTGGAACATCCTCTGCAAAGTTAAAGATTTTTTTGGAGCCTATCTCTGTGTATTTTAATTCTGAATGTACATGAGTGCCTCTTTATTCTAATTCATGTTCACAAGTAACAATGCATGTGCAGAGCAATGGACAGTGCTGGGCATTTAACTAAGGATAGAAACTCATATTTAAAATTATGGGGATATATAACAGGGATTCATTTGAGTAGATTTTCAACACAAGAATTTAATTTCAAGGACCAACAATAAATTTGTAATCCTGTGCATCAATGATTTGTATGCCTGCTTAGTCGTCTTCTCAGATACTAATTTCAAGTCCTTCAGTTTCCCTACTGCTTTTTATTTTTTGAAAAAAAATAGGATTACTTCAAATTAAAGTTTCTCCCTTTACAAGCCTTCAAATAAAACATTCTCTTCTGCACAAGAGGATGAATAAGCTATAAGTTCTTCTGCACATGGCCAGATGAATAAGCTATACAGTCAACAAACAAATAGATCCAGTGCATCTTTTGGAAGTCCAGCGTTGTGTCCTAATACTGTGCTACTTTTAAAAACAATTGCTCTTACCATAAATAGTTATGATTAGCTTTAACAATTTAGATTGCATCTCAGAGTGCTTAGACCCGAAACAAGGTAATACTCAGTCACCTTGGATTAGAACAGTTTCGTTCTCGATGAGATATACCTCCTCCACAGGTTCTAGAACAGGATGACCAGCTAGACCACTCAGACCAATGTCCATGGATTGGTTTCGGTCCTTCATCACCATATTTCACACATTGGCCGCCACGGCACCACTATAACGTTTGGGTGAGAGTAAGGCATTATTAATAGACTGCGAATTCAAATAATATAGGGCTTATAAGTACTTTGAATTATCTTGGAGACAAAATGGGGGCCTCTGACACTGAACAGTAACGGAATAATATTATACTATAAGCATCTGATAGCAGATTAGTTACTGCATTCAGGAGTAATTGCAGATTTTGGACTTTTTTTGAGATGGCTCAACTTAAAGTGCATTAAGTGGTTTTGGCTATGCAATATATCGATGTAATAGTGAAAGAATAACAATAAGCCCAGCTTACTACCCAATTTATAATCATCAGGCAAAAGTGTCCAGCCAACTTTATTTGGGCTCAGAAGCTAGGCAAGGTTGGGTCTGGTGAACTTTGCCAGGTGGAAGACTAGCTTGGCAAATCACTTCCAGACGGTTACCAAGAATATTAATGAATGCTGTTCCTGAAATCACTAGGAGTTAAGCTTAATTTAAAGAAGAGTTTACTTTTAAGTTACAATCAACATGCAAGTAGGGTAATCCTACATCACTAATAAACATACAGATAAGATGCAATTATTTTCATACACCTTTCCCCCACTCATTGGATTTTTGCAATGAGGTGGACTTTTCAAAGAACAAGGGTTTTAAAAGTAAATCAATCAATCAATCTTATTTGTAAAGCCTGCAGTCTAATCTAGGCTGGATTTACAACATTTGAGTTGTTAATGTTATCTGTGTACAATCATAAACAAAACTGTCCAATATTAAGTATCTAACATTAAAAACAACAGTTCATAGCAAAAACTAAACATACAATAACTTCATTTTGTTTGTATCCCAACTATTACTACAGTACAAAATTTGACAATTTTTATACAAATTTTGGAGTAGTGATAAATTTAGTAATTAAATTAGTTTATGGAGATAATACAGTTAGAGGGATATTAACTATGATCTCCAAGAATATGTAGCAATTCAAAACTACTGATTCAATTTCAGTGACTGAATATAAACAACTTGGCAGAGGATGTTAAATAAAACTCCCCGTTGACATCCCTGAGGGTGAAGCATTAATATATGCAGTGTAAAACTCTTTATTTGAAGACACACACATGTTGTAAAAGAATTTGAAGGCATTAAGAGACAGATGCATGTTTAATTGTAATGAGTAGAGTATCAACTCTATTCCTTTGCATATCACAATCTAAGGCTCTCTACTTGACCTAAATCCAAGTTTTGCCTAGATCCAGCAGAGATCTAAATAATAAACCTGCAACAAGCCAAATCAAATATAATTTGATTTTTCCATAAGCCTGTCTATCAGTAGACACAGGCCCAAGGACAAATTTCTACACTGCTCCTTCTGTCTAGAATTAGTGGAAATAAATAACAATGTACTTATTGTTAGAAAAGTCAGGAACCAGATAAATTACATTTGGATGGTTTACAGAAGCCCAGCCTTTGTTGTGAAACACAATAAGTCTCCTGGAAGTCCTAAGGCACATTGTTTCAATGGCCTTTAATGCCCTTTCATGTGCTTGATGCCATGAGTAGTAGGAAGGGGAATAAGTGAAAACAAAGACTTTTCTTTTTCAAAAAATAATGGTTGCTCATGTATGGTAAATTTCATTTTAGGTATATACAAAAACACATCACATGTGAAGAAGTCCTCTGACCATGCAATTATTAAAAAGATAACAGTTTCTAAACCAGTTTCTAATTCATTTCTTGCGATGAAGTGGTTCTTTGTAATAATTATACAGTTCTTTATAATGATTACACATGTTTGCAAAAGGGGGGAGGCACTTTACTCTTAATCAGTTTTCTAAGCAGAACAAAGCCCTTAGTCAGTTATAGGAGATATTTTATATAACCATTTTGTTAATTTTCAGGCATCATTTTACTCAAGTAGGCATTTTTTGGGGGGGAGGTGGAAGGAGCTGAAAGCTTTAGAGCAACTTGTGCCAGTCTCTTCCTAGTATGCTCACAACAGGCATGAAGGCATGTTACAAAAGATAAGTAGACTAGAATCAAAGTCTCTGCTCTGCCACTTTTCTCCTCTTCGTGAATTTGTGATAGAACATGAAAAAGGCTTATTTTTTTATTTATTATTTCTTTATTTTATTCTTTATTTATTTTATATGTCATGTTTCTAGACTGCCTATTTCTCTCAAGGATGGGTTTACATGTAAACATAAGAAATAGCAAATATTAATCCAAATGTTGGCTGCTAAACATAATCCTAATATATGCATTATGTTTGGTGATATGTCTATGTTGAGCAAGTACTTCTCATCAACATTCAAAAAATTTAGAAGTTCTATACTTAATTTCTAATTTAAAAAGTTTTGAAAAGCTAGATTCATTTAAACTGATTTATTACAATTCAGAATTCCTGCTTCAGCTGAGCTATAACTAAAAACATGAGATGCTTGGGGTTTAGTTCATTTTTGCAAGAAGATTTATGAGACACCTGGTCTTTGTGACAAACTACAACATGTCCAAGGTCACACAGTTTGTCCAGTAGACAAAACAATAAAAACTTCATTTCTTTTCACCATATCCACACCTTCATTTGAGATGTTACTACCATTGTCTCAACTTCAGTCATGTTTGGTGTAAAAATGGATGACTATAGTGGTCAATGTTGATTTTAATTTCTGTATCTTTATTGTTATTCCTAAACTTAATGCCCAGAATGTCAATTCTGGGAAGCAAGAATTGAAAACTAGTACTCCTGTATATATCACTATTACTAAAATGAAATCATTGTTGGTGCACATTATTTTTCTTGAAGACAAATACCTTGGTATGCAACAAACATATAAATGTCTTACTGTGTATTATCTAACTTTTCCCTATGCTAAGAATATAAAAAGATAAGCATTTTTAAAATGGCAATAAGTGCATCAAAAGAAGAAAAACAACAATTGGGAAAAACAATTCAAATGTACATTCATTTTTTATGGTCTTTGACTTCTCAGTACTCTTGTCAACTACTTAAAGAGTTATTTCAGTTTAAATATTTCAGACTTTAGATCTCAGTCTAAAAAGAGTCTTGGTGCTACTATCAATATCTATATTTCACTTTCCTTTTAGAAAAAAATCTTAGCTGGCAATGATAAAAGAGAGTTAAATCTTAGAAAATATCTATGTCTCATACAGTTGGTTGAGAATTTAAGAAGTTGAAGACTCAACACATCTGGAGATTACCAGATTGAAAAGGCTGGAATAGTTCATTGCAGTCAGATGTTGACTAGAGTTGATTGCCTTTAGACCACGGGTGTCAAACTTGCCGCGTCAAGTGACGTGTCTCAATGTATTATGACTTTTTTTTTGCATTGCCGGAGCTGGGATGGGCGCGGCCTCCATATGACATCCCTGCTTTAGACCATTACTTTCTGTTTAAGTTTGTCTTGTCACCTATAATTTCCTCATATTAATGAATGAATGTTTGGTTCTTTAAAACATTAACTTGAACAATATGGTTCCTATCATCTTGTGCTTCTTTCATGCTATTTCTTGCAGCTTCTATCTAGCCTATCTAAATTTTTGTAACATACTAGCGGGGCAATTTTATATGTAGATGACGCTTTTGTAATTTGGCCACATGGGAAAGAAAAACTGGACAACTTCCACACACATCTCAACAACCTACACCCCAAAATACAATTCACGATGGAAATAGAAGCTAACAACCAACTCCCCTTTCTGGACGTTCTAATCTACAAAAAACCCAACAGCTCCCTAGGACACACCATCTACCGGAAAAAAACACACACCAACCGCTACTTAAACGCACAATCCCATCACCATCCTGCACAGATCAACTCCGTACCCAAGACCCTCATATCCAGAACCAAACGCCTAGCCAACAAAGACCACCTGAAAACTGAATTACACACTCTCACAAACATATTAATCTCCAATGGATTCCAAAGAAATACTATTACCAACTTAATCCAAAGGGAAACACCCCCCAAGAACCGAGACATAGAACAGTACAATGACATCGCCCTCCTCCCCTACATCAAAGGCACCACAGGTAAAATTAGCAAAATTCGCCACAAACAGAATATCAAGACAGCCTTCGGCACCAACCCAAAAATAGCCAACATCTTAAGAAACCCCAAACATATGATCCAGCTAGAAAACCAAGGAATCTATTTCATACCATGTATAATCTTCCCAGCCACATACATTGGATAAATTAATAGGAAAATAAATGCATGCATCGCAGAACACAAGAACGCAGTCAGAAAAGAAGAAAAAACTTCCTCCCTCTTCCAGCACCTTAAAGCTACAGGACATGAAATTGATTTTGAAGGAATCAAACTAATCTCCAAAACTGAACACCACAACAAGAGAATAATTATGGAAGCCATCGAAATAGAAAAACACCCGCACAACACGAATAAACATGCCTACCAGACATCTGGAAACTAGCCCTAATCAACAAATGAGTCCTAGCCACGAAAACTGACACCGGACCCAGAACAACACAGTACGCCACCACCATTCACCCTCACCAGACCCAAACCAAGCCCAAACCCATCCCTCAGACAAAATGCAACCACCATCCAGAAGCCAAACTACGACGACATCACCAGCTGCTACACCTCCCTCTGACCCCCACACAAAGCAAATGGACACACGCCATGAACACAGAGCTAGACGGCAAACTCGGAGCCAAACCAAAGCCCGGTATGTTACTTCACAGCCTTCAGCCCTGGACATCACGTCACAGAACTCAGGAGGATACAATGCTAAAGCTCAGGGTATTACAACACAGCCAACCACCAGGATGGTGCAACACAGAACTCAGGATATCACCACACTAGATCTCAGGATGTCATCACACAACCCATTACCCAAGTCGTTACAACACAAAAGACTAATGGGCACACAGCCAGTACTTCAACTACTCAGGATGTTACGAAACAGCCAAACAATCTGTAAACAATAACTCCAACACAGCCAACCAATCCACCTACAGCAACTAAGCCAGCACTCCAC